GTTGTTGGTTATTCCGAGAAGGTTGTTCTAAAATGGTCACTTCGATTCAAACGCGATGTAAGGAAAATACTCAACAAAGGGCTCATTTATATTTTGTCCTGTTTCAATATATATCACTTTATGACGACACGACAACTGTCACCTACGGATAGACTTTAATGCAATGACATACCTGTTTTCTTTACTCAAAAACCAACGAAATTATGGTACTTTTTTCTGGAAGCGGTACATTTGGCAGTCTGCATCTGCAGGCTACTGCAACTGGCTCATCACTCATGGTATGCTTGCCCCTGTGGTAAATGGTAGCCTTTTCTGTTCAGAGTTCAGCTCGAACTTAGTTGCACCGGGATGGCTGTGTATCCTGCAGTAAGGGGCGCAGTTAGTTAGAAACATTCTGTGGAATTATCAAACGATAGCTGTTATTGCCCTCACTGTGTGTACGTAGTTCTGCTAGATCGAGCTGGCAGTAAATCCATCGAGAGTGAAGCGGACCTTATGTCTGATTAAAAGTTCAAGGACTGCGATAAATGCCTGTGGAATATCTAGGTCTATTTGTATAATAATTACAGGATTTTAAATATATATTTCGTCTGACCGAAAAGTAACGATCAAGTACTATCTTGGCAAAGGTACTTCGATGCGTAGCCCATCGTTCCGGGGTTCGTATTTTTTTTTTATAACAGTTAAAGGTGTGCTTGTTCTTCCCTTTGTTATCAAAACCCTCGAAAGCAATGCGTCGACGCCTTAAGACTGTTATTCGGTTTCAAATGCTCAACCGTCATGACCTTTTACGTGCAACTAGTTTCAGTTATCAGGTCCTGACCAACGTTTATTTTGTTTGACGTCTAGATAATTTCAATATTAATTCATAATTCTTCACAAATGTTTCGCTCTTGCCTGTTTGTTTTTCGGAGAAAAGCCTAGGACAGCTTAGAAAGGTAATGCGCACATTGGCAGGGTCATCGTATCTCCCCTAAAGGATGATCGAAATTTTTTACTGGTGCGCTTGTAACATCCGATCGAGAACTTCTTCTTTCCAGTCTACCCTCCACTCTTCTGGAGGGCAGACCCCTTAAAAATTACCGGTCATTTCTTCTTTATTGAGATACACCTGTTTGTCTTACATATGTTTCATAACTGCTTATTTTTTATATTAGACTACATACATTGCATCGGTAGGTAAGCGTTACGGAGTCGATTTGGATGGGCTTCCAAAAAATGAAAATATATTCTTACTACAAAAGAATCGTTGCGAGAACAGTAAAATGACATCTTATTTGGTGGGTCTGTAAGCTGTCAGTTTGTTTAGCTTGACGACATCATATTGCAGCTGCAAAGACAAACTAAAGTATATTGACGTAAGTGGATGTCTCGTGTCCTCATACGTCATAACAGCTTATGTTGTGTTTATTTACCAGCAATCACTCATATCAAGACACAGCTACCTATTCGTCTTCAAAAATAAATATTACGATGAGTGAGGTACAGAAGTGGATATTTGGCGCCCTTATACACGACACGGTTGCGACAGCTGCTGGTCTCCATGTTAACAATATGGCTCGCTATTCGTCAAATGCAATCGTGTGCAGGAGTGACCGACTGGAAAGAAACCGGGCGACATCGCAAAGCGTGCACACTTGAGTAGAGACACATGGGAAGAGACTGTGACGACTCCGTCATCATATCCCCGGGGTGTGACGAGCTTCAAGAGGCCGAACCCCCGTAACACCCACGAGAGACTCCGCCAAATTCAGCCAGTCTGAGTCTTGAATAGGGACGGGATTCAAGAGAACATGCAATCGCGGGGCACCGGCGTAGTCGTAAAGTGTCACCACTCGCTGTGATTCTTCCGTTCTCATCTTTGCAGACAAACGTCCCACTTCTCTTTCTAACAAAATTAAATCACGTTACTCCCCTCAAACTCCTCAACCGTTGAGTCGCTCCCAACGTCGCCGTCTCTGAACTCGCGCCGCTTCGCGTTCGAATTATAGAGGGGATCGGGAATGCTCAATGGATGAAGATGGATCTTCGTCAATGGCGCTACAGATAGAAAGGGGAGGGCTAGGCAAAAGAACATAAGCGGGATCCAGGCACAGCGCCGACAAACCTTAGGATCACAAAACGGAGAAACAACGGAAACCAAGAGAGAAACGGAGAATTAATAACTCAAAAGAAATCAGAAGTGTAAAAAACCAACTCTACAGGCACTAATTTGTGTTCTGCAGTAGTGAGTATATCTTTAAGCAATGCCTTATAGTAAGAGCCTATATGTCCTATTCACTCATACTTTAGCCACTATTACAGGTATATATATATACTACAATACACATTTATCTATCGTGCATGGACTCTCAGGTAGCCCACTCTTCAACCAAAGAACGGCAAAATTTTCAAGGAAAGGGACATCAAGGAAAATAAAATGCACCTACTTTTTAAGAGTCCGTTACCTAAGTGGCAACCTCAAGCCTAGTGGTGGGTTGGGCATACAGGTAGTAGCCGGTTAGAAGCGAAATGCTTTCAGACTCATAAGCAGATAGAATCTAAGCAAGATACATTGCTGCACTTGCCCTTTGGACTAATGAACAACCGTCGTAGTCTGTCTTTCTCAGCAATCCAGATACCACAGCACATTCTGAGTGGTATAAAAAAATCATATCTATCCCGGTGGACTGCCGGGGTAGAACATCTTTTTTTGCCTACGAAAACTGACAAAATATCCTTGACGGCCAAGCAACACTATGTGAGTGATGTTGGACGATATCTGGTCGGTGCTTATCGCTAAAAAAGGGCTACTTTTAGAACGGGCTTCGTTGATCTACTCGGCTCGACTACGATACTACCAACGGCTAAAAAGATCAGAAATGCGGGTAGTAGACTGCACCGTTGCCACCCATAGCTTGAAGTTCTCGTTCAGTAGCCAGGCGGCAAGTCAAGCCCCAGTCAGCTCTGCACAAACCGTAGGCAAAAAGTGTGGAATAGTGAAAAATTCTCGAGGCAACCATCATCTTCAAAAAAAGGAAAGGCGAAGGAGAGAGCAGCGTGAGCCGAGGATAACATGGAGCGAGTGAGACATCGGTATAGTCGTTTGCTGGCTTACAAGAGAATGGCAGAAGTCATCTTCGCGGCTCGGAGATCTTGGTTCCTCATCCGGTTTTCGGGTCCTACAAGATGAGGGCACGGGTTTGAAATTCAAATTGCACAGCACGACGCTGCGCGTCGCCAACTCCCTATTTCTACTGGCCTCTAATCCTATTGTGGTCCCGCACCCAGCTCGTGGTAGACCTATCCGTGGCGCCGCGTATGACGGTCTTACCAACCCTTTTCCGATTCTAAGTGGACCCAGGAATCCACGACCACTATTGCTACTACTACTGCTGCTTCTGCTGTCGCTGCCGTTAACATAACGACTACAGCCACTAGCAAGAGCAAAGGCAGCCCATAGCCCAGACGATGTTTAATGCAATTAAAGTGAGATTGCGATAACACGTTCGTCTCTTTTGTCCCATCTTGCAACGGCGCGGGTTCGGCTTTTGGCTGGCTCATGTCCGCCTCATCCGTTGGCTGCCGGTTTTGACTATGGTTTTCGTCGCGGCCGTTTGCGCAGTTAAGTTCTCATTGTTCCTCGCGTAAATGATCGAAGCCGCAGCAACGAGCTACCCGCAGAGGTTATTAGTGGGATTGTTTTTGAGGCCACTGGGTTGTTTGAAGAGAAGTCCGTTATTCTTGAAGGCAGCTATTTGCACTAACGACTAGTGACTTGCGGGAAACGGTTCTGCTAGTGCCGATTGGTGGCTATAGGTTTCTGCTACTGGCAACATCGGGACGTGCAATAGCGCGTCACTTGACAAGCCCTTCAAGATAAAAATTGTGAATTTCTAAGTCTGCCTTCGTACGTCCCTTAAACAGTCTTAATGCTCTGCCATCCGTTTCGTCTTTAGAGGCATTCCTTTTTGTGTTAGTGTTTCAGCTGGCTGGAGCTTTGGAGTCAGTGTTCGCATTCTGCATCTACCTCATCGTGCTGATTTTGCATATAAAGATAAGTGCAAAGAGGCTACAGTAGCTTGAGAATAGGTCTTGAAAAAAAGTGGGCTCGTTAACTCTAAAAGTCGATCGCCACAAGAAAAGGTTTGCAGTCAGTTATCAATACAAAATGTGATGAATAATGCCCATCCGATGAAAGGGCATGGAACGTAGGGCAAAAGGCTTTATGAAGGGCCGTCGAGACGCGGTGGTGCTAAGACAAGAAACAGCGAAGTAGTGAAGGATGTTTTCGGGCTTCCCAATTATGCAATAGGTAAAAATATAGTCATTCGACTGAAAAGCAGCTCCGCTAAAAATGTGAAAATACACCTATGCGGATAACGTTACCAAAGAATATTTGTGAAATGCAGATACTCAATAAAGGAACAGAGAGTCCAAAATGTCATTTGACCGTATAGGACCTGAATTAATGTTTGACCTGCGATTAAACCTTACTTTCTGAGTGTGTTGCGTCATTTCTTTCTATTCAAAAATACTTTCCTATGAAAATATGTCTTTACAGTAAAAATATTTACAGAAAGTTCTCTTCGGAACAACTACGCGTTAACAGGTCTTTAATAAGAAGACGTCACTACTAATACCCTGTGTACCTTATTAACTAAGTTACACGCAATAGCTAGAAGTTTAGTTCACATACACTTTACGTGGCGTTTAATTGTCAGTAAGCGTGCCAACGATAAATATTAGTGAAGTTCTAGGTGTTCTGGAAGAGCCAAGCGCTGTTGTTATTGTTCAAACATCCGTGTAGCTTGGTCATTTCTAAGGAACCATTTTGCCTGGAATACAGCGGCAGCAGCCTTAAAATATGAGATTTTACTCGATTCTATAGCTTTTTTGTAGCAATATTACACAGCCATTGCTAAAACTGGAAGTAATAGGAAACTAACATTCGAATAGTGCTTTCATGTGCGTATATAACTCAGAAATGATGCACAACTTGCTTTTTTATTTCTCTGTAGGAATTCCATTAACGGGGGTTCCTCCCCTTGGGGGTGATGCGGCAGCCTCTGATATCCCTACTCTACGAGGTTCCGGGGCGGGCCCGGCCGATCCTCCTTCTGTTCGCCGCCAGCCTCCTCACAACCTCGTTAACCACGATACTCCTAACAGTCTCCTGGACATCCCAAAATGCGTTCGCGCATTGGTCCGTCACACACGCCGATTACCAGCCTTATCATGCCAATCCGTAAGTATCTGTCAACTCTAGAGGCCATAATTTATTTGCCAATCCTAGGCCTGTTAGTACAAATGCTAAAATGGAAACTGGACGCCATATAATGGAATATTAAAAAGTTTGTCTAGCTAGGTGTCTCGTTGTCACTACTGCTACTTGGTATGCTGACTAGTAAACTCTTGCTGGTTTCTCTCAAATATAACAAACACTCTCCTAACTGAGAAACGATTCAGAACAGAGTAGACGTTGTTAGCTCAAGTACTCATTTGCTCAACGTGACTAACTCAGAACGGGTCTCCTTACCTGCGGTAAAATTGACAATCCCGAAATTACTTCCCAAATTTGACTCACCTTTTAGTAACATATAGTTTGTATTTGTATGTGTTACGACGAACTAAAGTATATAAGTAAAGTATATACACAAGTGTGTGCACTACTGCTGTAATGGGACAACGGTCATTTCTGCTATTGTACCAGCCTATAGGAGATAAAAACGAGAATGCTGATAGGAGGTTCTGCACAATGTTACAATGAGTTCACCCGCTAAGCTAACCAGTCGACTTCTCAGCTAGCAAGCTCGACCAGGAAGACGGCGATTAAACTCCTTAAAACACTGTCCACCTAAGAACTCTGGCGTTATCAGAGTTACCCCAAAGATATTGCCCTGAAGGACTCAGCGGATGCATTTTGTGAGACTGTAGTTGGGACCTGGTCGGCGGTTGTGGGCGAAGGGCCAGGTGTTTAAGATAAGAAACGGAGAAGGTGAACTTTTGCCCACTGCCATTTGTCGACAACAATCATAAACGAACTTCAGGACTCGATAGGGTCGGAGGGATGGAACAGCTTTTGTGTAAACAGCATGAAAAGAGAAAGATTTCGTCCTCTGTACCTGGACGAAAATTCCGGTCGTTGCTTCTCCTAAGGTCGCCCGGCGTACTTCGACGTTCAACACGAACGACTAGATACTCTCTATGCTGCTTAATACTTAGAGTAAACATTCAGGTTTTGATATGGCAATGCATCAATGTAATATGCAATATCGTGAAACCGCTAGAACATCAAAATGGTCAGCATTCAGCACCGCGGCTTTTAGTTAACTTCATCTGGTCGACGCATCTGACACTCGTATGAGGTATTTGTTTTAAGTGGCATTATTTTTTATATGAGCGCCATAAAACGGATGCACCCATAATAGCATCGCCAGGCTAAAAACAGAAATTTGTTTACAGATAAATCGATAAACGATTCCAATTATATTTCCTCATTTGGATTACGGGAAGCAGTCAACTGATATTGACCGACCCTCGATTATTATCGGGTTAGGAACGACATACAGTGATCACTCCTAATAAATGTTTCATATACTATCGAACCTCGGGTCCTGTGCCATTTGATGTGAACTATGTTAAACCTAAACTGTCATAGCAAATGTTTGATAAAATTAAAAAGCGTTTATATTTCACATTTTATTTATTATCTAAAATAACACTCGATAATAACCTCAACATAGGTCGATCTGCTTGGTCGACCGGCGTCAAGTAACTTATGGCAATAGATTGCTGGTTCCTGTAGAGACAAGACACGTCAACAGACTACCACGTTGATGAAAGGCAATGTCAATACCCGACCTTGTTTAGGCTTTCATAGACGCGTCCGCTGTTCCCTAAAGCTCAAAGCCAGCTTCTATGGTCCGTAACCTTTACTTAATGCAAATGACACACATCTGCGCTGCCAAGTCAATAGCGTCATGGTGTGGAACTGTTCAGACAGATCATCGTTGCGGCCGTTGCTTTGCCTTCGACTTCTTACCTTCTGCTTCCGCTGTGATTCTGGTATCGCTTCGCGGCTGCTTCTCTCACGTTCAGTGTTTATTTATCGACTCACCAGCCAGTGGCGGCCGTCGGTCTTTCTCAAAGACAGGTACTGAAACGAACTACTTTTCGCTGGCTGGTTAACTTCACCTAAAGTAGAAGATCGAAGAGAACTTGGAGGCCTTTGAGGGGCAGAAGTAGATGCCTCCTACTTCAATTGAGCCTGACAAAACCGTTCGTTGTCTGTTAGTGATTAGTCCCTTTATTGCGAGCAGGAATTGGTTGGATTTATGACATGTGGACGGCCATGAAAGCAAGCATTACCGCCGCCTCCTTTGTCCCCTCGCACCTGTCTTCCCCTTTCAAGTTCCCTTGTACCTCTCAAACCTCCTTCTGTTTCTCCACTCATCCTTTCTCCAGCACACGTGGACATCGTCAGCAGTCTCGCTGCTCCGCTACGCGTCATTCCGAAAAAGTATTCTGTCAGTTCTTTTTGAATGAGTCTTACTCGAGGAGATCTTTACCACCAATGCAATCGTTGCCTATTTCAAAGCACCTAAAACGGATGTTGGCACGTGCACAAAATGCTGTTGTTTCTGCTGATACGACTGCCCGCCAATTTCAAACGGCATCAATGAGATGGAATGCTCAATAGAGCGCCACAGTTGAACGCGGACATGGACCAGAGGGCTCCACAACCGAGGAGATAGCTATTGACTAGCATACCGCATGCAGATACACACGGAGAACGATAACAGCCGATAATGCACTTTAGATAGTGATTCGCAATTTCAATTGCGAATCGAGATTTACATCTGCGTCTGGTAATAGGGAAGAGCATGATCTATAGATATGTTACTGGCGACAAACGAAAACAATCAATCACGGACTAAAGCATGGCGGATAAGCAAATTTTCGGATCGGCTTACATTTAACGATTTTCCGGTAGATGGCGCTAAGATATCTCATGGTGATCACAGAACTATATGGTACTATTATTATAAGACTTAACTCTAGTAGATAACTATTTTATTTAATACGTTGACTGGTAAATAGACATGTCCCCAGTAAAAAATCTCCATTGTAGATCAGTAGGGCTGCTACGTTAACAGAAACCTAAAGAATAACTCACTCGTCTTATTACTCAAGTCACTCTTTTCTAACAATGATCGTATGTCTTTATCGGGTGATCAGATCGACGAACTACTTGTTGATTACGTAGATCAGAGCATCTATTAAGTGAATGCCTTGCCTAACGGCATATCGGAAGGGCCGAGGCAGTGTCTTCAACGAGCATTTGCTAATCTAAGCTGAGATTTTACGTATCACTATTGTAAAAGGGATATGCTGCTGTTCTATTTCAGCACTCATCTTGTGCTCTGTCCACGCTACATCCGACAAGGTCAGCCATACCGCTTCTTAGTGTCGCTGTTCCAGCTTGCCCGACCCGTCATTGTTACAGCCACCGTTCATCGCGACGGGGTCGAAATTGCCAAAATTGAGAAGGAAGTTGCATCCGAAGGTGTACCCGAACTAATCACCTTCACCGTGAGCAGAACAGTAACTTTTTGCATGCAGTATTATATGTGTGTGTGCTATCTGTACAGTGTAACCAGTCGTTGTGAATAATACAACTTAAACTTTATCTAATTGATGGAAAAAAGTTCACATGTGTGCACATACGTACTTACTTACCATTACACCAGCATCGTCACTGTCCAATAAAAATGTCGATTTTCTAGCCATGAATTAAGGCGTCATAATCTCTTTTTGGCAATCTTCCGATATTCTCTCTTATACACATCGTACGCAAGGCATTAATGACCCAAATTTCCGTGGCCTTTGTCGATTTTTCTACTCGATTGACCATCATATTGTTATTAGAAATTGATTATATCAACCGCTATATGCCCCGTGATAGTCGGTCGAACGGAAAGATCGCTTTACAGTTTATATACATGCAAAGCCATTAAACTCTCTACGCTCTATAAACACATTTCGTTCCCTATCCATCTAATTAAAGAACTTATCACTGCATCTCTGCTACATAACATCATTTTATCGTTATACAAGACGCTGATCATTGGCAAATTTTTTACTTCTGTGGGTAAAGCGTCGTTAACGAAGATCGAGCCTCTGAGAGGCCATTACTCCCACATGCGGCACAGCGGCCGAATTGGGTACTTGTTCGATGCAATGATTAGTAATGATAATTCCTATTTTGTCGTTGCCGTAATACAGCAATTCGTTGAGTGCGTATCTCCTTCTCAGGACAGAGGTAGTGGACATCAACTACCACCAGACGAGGCAATGTAAAATTCAACCGTAGTACTCCATTCCTAGAACTATCCTTCTTCATATCTTTCATAGTCTTCTCTTTTCGAATCAGCCCGATGTTTGTGTGATCTCCAGCCCTTATTGCAAGTGGAGACACGCCGGACGAACCGAGTGAGGTCATCACTCTTACTGTCACCATAATATTCTTAGAAGATGCTAACTAGTGATGAAGGCGGGCACAGTTACATTTATATTTAGATGAAGAACAGGCCGTCAACGACTGTCACATAGAGCGATACTAACAGCTTGACGCGCCGTTCTGGTTCGCTCCGACTTGTCCTCTTGCTGCGCTCATAGAAGGTTATCCCCGTGCCATTGCGTTACCTGCGCACGTAACGCGTATCAAAACGAGGTTTTCTTTACCGCAGCAAAGGTAAGAAGCTTGCGCAAAATAATTTCCGACTATCTTGCAAGCGTCAGAAACAGCGAGAGAAACGGGGCAGCACCATTATGCGACGAAGTCTACGTGGCCTCATATAGCAAAGGAGCATTGTGTCCTGCTGTTTAGAAAGTGCGCAGGCTCCGAAGCGGGTTACTTCGGTTAGAAGCGGGAAAGGAATGTTCTCTATGAACAGAGATCAATGATTTGCCCGCAGCAAGTCCTTGAACATGTTGTGTAGACGCTGCAATGGGAAGAGGTGAAATGGAAAATGCCTTTTAGAAGCTTCCTAGGAAGCCAGTAACGGGGTACGGAGCAAGTCAAAAGGGATAGGTCCTGCGGTGAGTCCGGTCGTATTGCGGAACCTTTCTAAACCGTGGCCGGACTCGCCTGAGGCGCAATTTTCTAATTACATTCGTCAATGTGTGTTCGTCAGTCGCCCACTGAGGGCAAAATTGCACTGAATTCAATGGTGTCTGTTCTTGCCAATCTGCAGCTAATTGTCCCTCACAATGGTGCTAAATCAACGCATTGTTGCAGTGTGGCATTGCTTGTCTGCAGTTATACAAGCCAATGTTTAATCGTCAAGCAGTTACAAGCAGTAACAGAAACAGTATTAGCGCATTTGAACGGGCATTAACTTACGAAATGGAAACGGGTATGATTTCAAACATCTATGTCGACTTCTATGCAATTGACAGAGGTAAAGAAATTACGACAGAGTTTCATATAGAACGTATACTCTATAATATCTGAATATACTGCATCTTATTGCTATAGAAAAAGGTACAGTGCTTCTCAACTAAGGACATGCTGTCCTGAACAAATCACAATCTATTCGGGCCTTTTCTGAGACTCCGGATAACCTGCCAGTCTAAATTGTGTCAGTGTATGGGCCACAAGTCAGTTCTCCGCTTCACTACTAAGGTTCTTATCCAACCTATTGCATCATACAATAGACAAAGACAGACTTCAATAGGTGATGGCATCAGTGTCAGCTAGACCAGTCGGTAGAGGGAGTACTACGTTGCAAGTTTCTACCACTTGTCTCACATCTTTGTGGTTATTAGAGGTTTCATTTGACCTTCTCATTTGACGTCATCCATTTCTGCCATGAATTGTACATACATATATATATATATATATATATATATATATATATATATATATATGTAATACCACTGCTACATATCTAAATGGTAGCACCAGTTAAACCTGTAGCAATCGCTACTGGTTGAAAGTGTTACCCCTTACGATACGGTACCCATCATCAAACATGAATAGAAGCGACGAATTATACTTTACATGCCTTACGTCAGCTTAGCTAGATCAAATGAATCAGATATCTTAAAATTATCCAACATCCCAGCTAACAGAAATTTAATACGAAAGTTCAAGTCAGAGATTTTCATAGCCTTCTTCTAACAGTATTTTTATTTTCCATGTTTTCATATGAATTTCATCGAACGACGGTCGATCTGCATAAGCAGTTACCCACAAACCTCTTGCCTGGCCACTATCGGCTGCAAGTCGAAGGCGCTATAAACGACTTCAATGGAGGCGTGGCGTTTAGTAACGAGACGAATCTCAGTCTTCTTCAGCGATCATTGACTATCATCGTACAAATTGATCGGCCGCTTTACAGACAAGGTCAAACTGGTATGTAGTACCGATTCGAATTTTCGGCATTCGTTCTAAGGTTATAATATATCGCGTAATAGTTCATGGATATCACAGTACGTTTAAATCAATTATATACAGGAGATTTTGGCAAAAAAAAAACATTAAAAAATAGATTTAGATATTACGCAGGCTTGAGCTTCTTCTTTCTTATAAGGTGCTGCTGCTCGTCTTTCTTTGATATAATGTAATACACTTACAAACACAATAGGTACCCTGCAGTTACCGCTCAATGCCCTATCCAACCAAAACGTTGATGATGTGACGAAAATTAGCTGACTGCAAAATTGTTTCTTTTTGGCCTATTCTCGTGTGTACAAAGTAAAATTTCGGGTGATTCCTGTGACAACGGAGTTCACGGCATATCAGGAAGCGCTCGATATCATTATGATCAATCCATCTGGTTTCGAAATGAAGCGCTGGTCATCCCGGCGCAGTGTGTCAGGCTGGCTAGGGCTCGAGTATCCATTGAGCGAGTTACCTCAACTTGGCCGGTGGACGATACGCGTCAAAGCAAATGGCTACTCTCATGATGAACATTTTTATGTGAAGGAATATTGTAAGTCCATTAATAACATTATTAAATGCAATTACTATCGTACATGATAAAGGGCAGCAAAGAGGTGGAAATAGATATTTAAATGCAGAAAAATCTGCTAATAATAACTATTAGAATGCGTACTATCGGACAAGCGTTTCTAAAGGATTATTCAGAGCCCTGAACTACTTCTGGTCTCTGGAGCTGCTGGAAATATGGACCTATACATCTATTCCTATTTAGTCAAATATTGATATACGCGTTGTTGTATCCTACTGTGCTAGCAACTAAAGCCAAAATAGGAACAAGACCTAAGCTATGTGCGATAGATGAAAATGTGCGTAACACAGGTGTCTTATGAGCCACACCAACGTAACTATATGTACGTTCCGCAATGAGCTTTTGGCCACTTGACGGGCAATTGGCGTTCACGTTGGGCTCAGGTGAATCACTTTGGCAACCTGAAAAGCCCACTCCAGTGGACACGTTTTGCCAAGGTGTCATGAAGGACAAAGTTGCGGTTGCCTGCGAAGAGGCCAATAGAAATAAGGAACTGTGTGTGTACGGATGCATGAGTATTGCGAGCAAATTGTGAAAATACATGAATAGATTCTGAGTATTTGCGGGCCTATGCCGTATGTACTTCGGTGCTGCCATTGTCAAGTACGCAAACATAAATATGAACAGTCCATCATCATTATCATTAATCTTTTTACATTTTTTTACAAATGACCAATAGCGTACTTATTTCCACCCCCCACTTAACTGTACACGCTTACCTTTTTCAGGCGAAACTATCAGAGTCGCATTGCTAAACGCAATCTCTTAATAGAATCTTTTAATAAACATCCCCTTTTATTATCTTCAGATCCTCCGCCCTTTGAGGTACAAGTGCACAGCCCATCTTTCATCATTTCGTCAGCACAGTTTCTCCGTGGTACTGTATATGCCAAGTAAGTATCCTTATATATTTTTTGTTATTTATTGTTACGTATTATATATATTATTAATACGATCTATGTCGGTATAACATAAAACGTATCACAAGAATAGGGTTTCCACGATATGTCTGGAGTATGTTTTAGTCAAATATGACGTATTCGAAGCATTTTCTTTGAAGCTCGGCGACGATCAACGAAAACTGAAAAAAAAAAGCGATTTTTTTTCCTAAAAAGTAACGTTGCTGCGTTGATCGACTGAAGTCATGAAAGCTAACCGTTTGACTTAGGTACTCTTTATGTTTCTGTTGTTGTATAGTTATTCGAGCGGTGCTCCGGTGGGTGGAAACATTTCCGTTATCGCTGTTATGGAAGCCGTTACAAAAGAGGATAACAGAGAGAGTAAAGGCTACGAAATGAGTCTTGACTCGGTAAGTCGATTCTATTCTGCTTCTATACTACTACTACAACGACTTTTTGAGTACAGCTACTGTTATTCTATAGTAGTATCCAGTATTATTTAAAACTGTTTTTGAGATAGTGTTTTCACGATAAGGATGAATTTTTGAATCCAGGTAATGCTTTAGAATATGCCATTGTTTAAGATTAGCACCCTTCAGCATTGAAGATCAGAGTTATCGAACAAGTTAAGTTACATTGGTCAGCTTCAGAAACAGTTACAAAACGGCTGTCCGTAACATTCTACGAATCTTTTGTGCTTCTATCTCCTACGTCCTCTGGAATTTTGGGAGATCCGACAACGTCGATGCTCCGAGTTATCACTAAGTTACACGCAGTAAATGAAATTCAGCGTGTCCGCCTTTAGCTCAGATCGGTTTGTAACGCTTGAAATCGTCTAAGCGAACATACTCAAGCAAATGTTTTTACTTCACCTAATACCTGGTGTATTTTATTGAGATCCTTCCATTGTTTCCATCCATATATAGTCTTATGATATAACTGGTTTACGTCTACATGATCTATCGTGTTCTGCTCTGCTCTGACTAATAGATTCCCGATACTATTACGCAGCAAAAGGTCCTGCTGAAAATGTTGTTAAACTTACTGCTACCCGCGTTCCTCTTCCCGTTGCCCCCCCAGCGGGTAAAAGCCTCCTCTCTAGCGGCAGTCTACCCACATTTTCAACTACATAACACGTTTCGACGGCTGCAGCCGTCGGCCGTCAGCGAGGCTAGCGATGCCCCGAATGTGCCTCTCTGTACAGAGTACAAATAGCGTATTTACGTGTTATGCGCATAGTCTTCATCTATATACACCCACAAAATCAGATCATATCGGGCCTCGGCACGTTAAAGTAGTCGAAATGTAGAAGGTAAAGAAAAGAGTTTTCGGAGCCCGCTATGGGTGCCTTGTCGATACTTAGTCGATCAACATTTAGTCGTGTCGATGGCATCGGCCATCGTCACCATCAGCTGATGTTTCATCGGCTTATTTACTGCTGCAGATGAAAAAAAATAAGTTGTAACCTGTCATCATATTATACCAATATATATATGGTATTATACAATGCTTAAAATAAAAACCAGGCGATACGATGTTAGGTCAGCTTTGCCTATATAATTATATACATTCAGTACTAAAAACTCAAAATTTCTTGAACTCGATACCAATAGCAGCGAAACTGATTGTAAGAGTTAGTTATCTAGTGCTTACCAACTGTGGGTAGGCACCATGTTGATTTCGGCTGTAGTCGCAGCATATCAAGTCTGATTCCAAAAGTTTTGACGTTCGAATCGCTTCCACAACAACTAAACAATAAAACCACGAGTAGGCTGTTGTGATTTTATCACGATTTCTTTGACAAGTTAATATTTCGCACACTTACTTTCGGGAAGTTAGCATATGCCAGTAGTAGATGTGTCACTGGGTCTCACCATGGACCACGACGCATCCCAGGCAATCCGAGTCACTGCGAAGAGCACAGAACTTTGAACTTAGAGCGATGATCAACGTTCGGTATGTCTGAAAGATAAGAACTATGCCATTTATACTGCTCCCACTATGAAATAGGTACCGTCAAATGTACCACTTGCCATCATGACAGGTCTCGTGCTGCCAAATGAGGTGTCTTCTTCTCGCCACGTACGACCCATGAAGCTCTAAACGAATAGTCGACGGTATCATTCCCCGCACCCCCACACGGATTGAGTGAGTGCATTCCTAAGAAAGAGTGTTACATCGTCACGGGAAGATACAGACGGACACATCTTGCTGTTCGACGCACTTTCCGTCAACTTCGCGCACACAACAAAGGCGAAATAGTGCAGGCAGCAGCAGGAACGGGGATGGCAACTATAGCCGTGGCCAGACAGACCAGTCGCGCAGATGTTCAAAACCCTAGCCGTCACAGCGCACAAACATACCGCAGTTTACAGGATGCGTGATGTGGTATGGGGTACGCGTGCGGCTCACCACAAGTAACGCTTACGCTTTCGGTTTCCACTAAAATTATCGCCTTTCCTGTCTGTGGCTGTTTGTTCGCTTCGACCGTTGTTTGTACATCTGTATTTGTATCATGTCGCTCTATAGTTTGGAAAAACAACTAGCGGTAGCGGCGTCATAGAGACAAACTAAAAAATCAAACAATTAAATATAGATTCAGGCATATGATAGCTTCCACCGCGTTTTTGACTTACTGTAAACAGTAGTGTCACCATGAAAGAGCACGCGCTTACAAGTATTAGATAAAGTAATATCTATTAAACGACCTTGAACCTTTTTCAACTTTCAGAACATTAATATAGGACATTTTCTGATCTCATTCAATCGTTGCTCATGTCAACTAGTCCGCTCCTGAAGCGAAAGTCAGTATACAACTGTCGATTCAGAGAACAGGTAAAATAAGATAAGCCAAACGGGCCTCAATACATTCATGAAGTTTTTAACACATTTGTGACGAAGTTACTGTTCAGTGATTTCTCAATCATGTCAGAAATAGGAATTTATATTAAAATAATAACAATGAGCGTGCAATCACGAACGTATGCAGCTCATTCACCTTCATACGTGGGGTGTATCTGATTTTGCATTTGTATGATTGCTATAGACGATGGTACGCAAATGACCGACATATATATTGCCAAGGTAATGGCGCATTCAATGTCGAGGATATACATTCTGGAAGCTATCTGAACTGGTTCAATTAATATGAAATCGTAAATCTTTTCATCGATATAATCGGGTAAATTTCCTGCTCGGTACGTTAATTAACCCTCTTCAACTACGCAGGCCGGCTTGTCACTAAGTTCCCGTAAACACAGAACAAAACGCACCGAAATTTTTAATACAAGTCCTTCCTTCGTATTTTGCGTCGTCGTCGTCTCTTCCTCCATTTCAAATGCAATTTCTTCTTGGACATTTGCCAAGATAAACACTGTTGTTTGTTAAGAATCTACTGAAGTGCCTAGGTCACTGTCGACCAACAAGAGATTCCAGCCAAAGGACATGCGGTGCCAAAAACAAAAAGGCTGGAACGCCAAATACTATCATAGAAATTGGTAGTGAATCATTTTTGTGGCTAAAGCATGTCCTGAACCTCTTTACATATATCAACGGGCATATGCGTAGACTTAAAGACACATAAAAAAAATTGTACCTTGGCCAAATTAGGTTCACTCCAAAAAATCGTATCAGCAATAAAAGAACTCTATATATATTCTTTAAACGTATGTGCTTTTGTTTAAACCTTGCCGTATCTATGAACAAGATAGCGTCATTTCCCTCTAAGTCCTAATTTTTGTTGTATTGGTTTCGTCTTCAAGGCGACAAACTAGTGAGTCCCCGTGTTAGTGTCATGGATAAGGTCTCAAGAAAAGGCTATTTGTGAAAATGGTGATGTAAGAGCAAGGAGATATGCTCCTATGTTCGAAACTAGAGCTCTACGAGAGGACGCTCTAGTGGCTTTTTTTGCCTGTAAACTTATAGGCGATCGGAATGCTCCTAATCTGCATCTCGATCATCGATAACGACGCCCCACAGGCTCTGCATTCCCCCATGACCTATTTTTTCGTGCGCCCACCAATTCAATCGCTAACCCTGTAATCTATTGCAGTTCTACGGAGTATGGAATTTTGAGTTTCCGGTTAGCGACCTCCTCCGGTCGACGAAAAACGTGCAGCGATTCAAACTAGTTGTCAAGGCAAAGGTGATGGACGCAAGGACATCGCTCATTCGCAAAGGTTACTCGGAGTCGCTCATCTTTCGGAAATCATACACGCTTCGGTTCGAAGGACCTGCAAAACAGGTGTTCAAACCTGGCCTTCCATTTCGTGCATACGTAAGTAACACAACTGATCACTAGGGAAGATTAGAATTTAGTTTTCATGCACAAATATAGGCATGTATAGAAACATGTAATTTGCTACATAGTTAAAATTGATGAATGAATTTACAAGACTTACATTGGGCGTATCGATGTGTATTCTAGTTAGACGAGATACATCTTAGCACATCTAACGTGATTAGAGCAAATATTAGGGGTTTTAAAAATATACGTCATAATGGCATCGCATCCATATTCCTAAGGGGTCGAGAAAAAATGTTTCGATCTGACATATTTTTGGCAAACAAGGTTTCTTTGAAATGTTTATGTGGCTGACCCATGTCGGATCGTCAGATTCAGCTTAATCGCCACGCATGATCAACCATCTTTCTATCTTTTGAGATACATACCACAAATAGTGTGTTACTCATAAGGGACTTAATTGTGAGAGAAGGCTATTTAACCATAGCTCAATTGTACTCCCTCAATGTTAATACAGACAGCAAATTATATTTAAAAGGTAGCATTATCGTATGGAGTACTGACGGTATTATTTGTTGGTCCTGTATAAATAGTCTTTGTTTTTGCCAACCGGCCCGTATGTAAAGACAGGACGCGAAATAAAGTTGTTGCAACCAACCCTCCGTGGCTAGCCGATGACGTTACCGTAGATCGACCAGTATTCCACCGACTGGAGAGACTGAGATAGCTGAAGCGCTTCCTGGTTGAATGGAAAGTATGTGCTTGGTTGAAGATCTTTTTCTTGTTCGGTCCCATATCGATTTCAGATCGAGTTGCGCTATCAGGACGGTACTCCTGTAGAGCTAGAGTGGTTCCGCGGACGTCCGGTATCACACTATCTGAATGTAAACATCTTCGTGCCTAGTCTTGCCGCACAGCCGAAACTTCAACACCCTCGGATTCTGCCAACGGCTGGCACGCGTTGGGAGGTACAAATTGACGTCACTCCGAACTGGTCCAACTCATCGCGGCCGATCTTCCTTGAAGTAAGTTCCCTAAAGGAAAAAGCTAGATCTGTGCAGGAATGGGCTTCAAAATCAAGTTAATTTAGCTAAGTTGCCTCTAAGCTAAAACAATAATTAATCACATCTCTGGTAAGCTGATTATTTTTAGCTTTTCTATGAAGCCTCACTAACAGAACAGAACCACTGAGTAACATAAAAAATCACACTTCATTGGCGTTCGTTTTTCCATCTCCGCGCGATCTTTTTTACAGGCCCGCTTTTTCGACGAATACTTTGGGACGGAACGAGCGAAGCTAGTGCTCCTTCCAGAGTTTTCTGAGAATTCGCACCATCTTTCAATATCGACAAGCACACGTAATGCTAAAGTGGGCGAGTTCATCATCTTCCACGTCCGAGCAAATTACTACGTTGAGTCGTTCCAATATTTGGTAAGTAATTGAGTCAACTATGTGACCATGATACGGCACAGTGACTCCGCCAAGGCGCTCGTCTGTAGCCATCGGTTTGCCCCCAGTTGACAGCTATAGCAGCAGTAGAGGCTGTCACAAAATCGGCTATTCGATTCTTCCTAGCTTACTCGTCCTTTTACGCCATCGTAGCCATCACGGATTCGCTTGAAATATAAACAGCTGAAGCTCTCCCTTTCCTTAAGGATTCTTCTGGCACCAAAGTCACATAGTGAAAATTTGAACAATCATTCGTGTCATACAGGTCAACTATATACACCGCTCTCAATGGTAGCATAAAATGAAGGCTTTGGCTCAGTGCTTTCAGCTCTTATCTTTCTCTCCTCCAATCCTACATACTGAATGTTGGGTCCGTGCCCGCTTTCGACCGTAACCGCTTGTACCTAACGCGTCCGCTCATATGGTTTACTATCGTGCGCAATAACCTTGAGGGCCGGGCCGGGCCGGGCCGGGTCGGGTCCCGTGCATCGATTTTAACAATAGGTACCGTTAGATCTTGATGTAGATGCATCTGCAGAGAAACACATACGATGCTCGTATGAGAGTCTGGGTTATATCTCATCTAATAACATGAAGTTACTGTACGCATAAGGCTCGAACGATTCAATGCCTTTATGCAATGCTATCGCATAGATTTAACAAACGGATGCCAATGGAAGACTGGGGAAGATGACTGTTTGTTCCGACGTTGCTATCTCGCGCAAAGCGTAATGGCCAAGCTCGCTCACTATACTCGATTACGCTACCCAGAAACGATGCGTGGATCGGGGACATCGTGCCAATATATAATGTACGACGAGCGCTTTGCGGAATAACCGCATTGCTATCCTATTAGATAAATACTTAATCTACATACACTATATTCGGTTGTAATGAATACTGTGTAGGGTGCGCACGCATTGGTGACACAGCCTTGTTATCATCACTTGATCTATCCGCCAACAATTATTGATAGTAGACGAGACTCTGAAAGAGGGAACGGTAACATCGCTGCGTATCGTACATGCCCATTAGAGTACAACAATTTCAGTAGCGACATTCGCCCATCATTGAATAAAGAAATGATGTCATGGGCCAGATAATGGCTTAGATCTGGGTCGATTTCTTAAGCAGCGGCGAGAAAGAGCAGTTGCTGACTTCATTTTGTCGATAGTGTTATTGCTCCATTTCTCTGTAGACATGTATGCGTGCTTAATTAAGAATCGATGCATGAGTCAAGTTTCTACAACAAGAAAAAGGATCATTATGACCATCCTATTAGTGTTATAAATGATATAACCTACCTGTGGAGAGTACTGGCCACCCAAAGACGACGATGTGGACCCAGATTGTGTATATGTTGAGGACACATATTACAGATCCGAGTCATTTGAGACCCGAGACACATAAACTAAGTCTGTTTTTTTTTTTTTGAAACAAATACAGGTAATGTCAAAGGGAGTAATCATCAGGTCGGGAGTGGAAGCCATGACATCCTCGATCCGAACGTTCGCGATCACGCTAACAAAGGACATGGCTCCAAGGGCTGTCATTATTGTATATGATCTTACAGCGGATGATAAACTCCTTGCAGACAGCCTTGAGTTTCCTGTTGACGGAATTGCCATGAACAAAGTAAGCTCTTATGTTGTCATAAACAGAATAAATCGTTGTTATAACAATATTGAAGTAGCTAGCATAATTGCAGGAATCAGTATAGGTTAGTGCAAAACGTTTTCGTTAGAGATAATTTCATTCCGGCCTTACAGGAGATGTCTCTATTCGTACCTGCCGATATCAGGAGATAGGTGAACTAATCCTATTAGGAAATAGAAAGAACCAGTTACTACATGTGGTCATACTTTTCGTTGCCAGCTTCCATCCATAGCTCCTCATGCTTTATCCATTGTGCTCCTTGGCTAACCGTTTCTTCTGCGCTCTTGCCCCTAGCAACGGTCAGCTAATGATTTGAAGCTTTTTAACGTGAGTTGAGATCATACTAGGGTTGTTTTTATTTGCTCAGTACGAGTTTCGGCAGTATACTGATTGGCAAAGGCAAGGCCCTCGTAAATTTTACTAAGGTACATATCCATTGTCATATTAAATGTTCATGGGGCAGGTGGGCATCCGCAGTGAATCGAAAGACCGTTCCGGTTCAACTATCGATCTAACCGTTTTTGGCGATGTCGGATCAATCGTTGGGATTTCATCTCAACCACTTGACGTACTCGCTACATACATCCATCACCCGATCTCTACGCGCAGGGTAAGTTAATTTTAATACAGGCAATTGAACTTTTTGAGTTCTTTGTTTCTGTTTCTTTTTTTTCCCTTGTACTTACTCGTGTAACATATCTAGTAGATTTACGAAGTGCGATGAAAGAATAAAATGACAAAGTCTTGACGTCTTTCCAAGAATCTCTGCACTCGTATATATATTCACATACGATTTTGTATCATTCAACTCAAGTAGGGTACATGTTCCAGTTGAATAGAGTAGATGTGCGAAGTTATATAGTTTCATATAGATAGTATATTTTCGGCGAGAGTTGTCAGAGATGTGTGATCTTTCCTCGTCTCCCTCCCCCGCCTTCCTTTTTGCTTCGTTGTCCTTGCTGTCATAGTGGGGTTGATGCTGAGTGATGGTCTTATGGATTTTGCAACTGTAAGCCTTGGAGACCGATTAGCTTTTGCAACATAGCAAAATCTAGCGCACCCTACTAGTTTTTCGCACTCACTGTTTCTTTTTATCCTTCACTTGCTTTCGCTTTCCTTAAGCTTGAATCCCTTCTCTCCAGCGGTTTCCCGACCCTCATCCCCTTCCTCGATCACCCCCTGAACATTGTCATGCACAGTACCAGCACACATCAGTAGCAGAAAGACCAACACCAATAGTTGAGGTTGAATGTTAGGCCAGCTCACTCGTCCGGCCGTACTGAGTGGATTTCTTTCATTGATGCGAACAGCGCCACGGATCTAGTTTCTGCTAGAGCAAAGTACTCATATATTTGTTACACGCGATTATTGTATTACCAGAAGAAAACCGGTGGTGGCATCAAGACCCCGCCGATGAAATCAAGCCATGAGGAAAGCACAGGAAGCGCCCCACTTGAACAGAAGGATGTGGCATCCACAGCGCCGTTCACCTTGGATAACATACAGACTCCGGGTTCGCTCTCTGCGGAAAAAAACGGAAAAAACAGAGGAAATGGAAGATCATAACAGACAGAGAACGACAACGAATACTGCGCTAAGACAGAAGACAACAATCTCCTTTTTTTTTGATCCCATGTGAAGGACTCGGTTTATCCAAAGAAACTTCGAAAAAGATTTCGACCCAAACTGGAGCCAACGAAGTACCGCCAGCCCGTTATATCGGCTTACTGGAGCGGTTAGCTGGCTCGGACGAAACGAATCCTGCCACTTCTGCTACCTCCGCCAGTAGCTAGTAAAACTCTATTTCCTGAGGAGTAAAGACTCAGAAAACTGAAGACAGCAAAGAGGGTTGCTGCCGCTGGCAGGGTAGCTCGCCATTGCGTCGTCGCCGTTTCGAGTGCGCTTGCATAAGTGTAGGGCAAACAGTGTAGGACGAAGCCAAGATGGTTGAGGCTAGAAGGACTCGTTCTGAGTCCTATTGGTTCTCCTGTTGGCACACAATCTGCACATTGTAACATGATGCGAAAACCCTGGGGACAGTAGATTCCTCTACAAAAGTATTTACACGTCGTGAGGCAGAGAAGGATACCGTTAATACTATGGGGCGCTACTACGTACACAGATCCTGAAAATGTACTGAGTTGCGAGAAAAAACGGGGATATGATTGAGAAGAAGGTGCAGGCAGTAGGACACTATGGTGGACAGGCAGACTGAGGGAAATCGCCATGCGGTCTTAGTCATTTTTCTCGTTCGCCATTAAGAAGCGCTTTAAGCTGACACCCTCACGGCCATCTGCCATCACTGCAGTCGTCAAAAGAGACCTAGATTCCCTTTAGAGTATCTCTAAACATTGTTCTGCTTTCGTGTTAGCAAGAGAAAAAGGTTAGAGAAATTGTCGGATCCTTCTTTTGCCGCCAGCAACAGTACTACGGATAACCCATACGACAGCATTAGCCCAGTTGGTCTTCAGTCAGGCCTGATTGAAGAAACTGATCGTAAAATGTCTTATCTAAACTTCTTAAATCCGTACTATTTTTTCTTCCTTCCATCGTTCTTTTTTGTAGTAAGACACAATGGAAAATTAGAGGGAACCAACGTTGGGAGGAAACGTAATATCATAAACAACAAATTAAACTGAGAATAGCAGTAAAAAATCACATAGGGGTCAGCATCAGAGTCTTCGACGTCTATGCATATCTACGCTGCTATCGGTGTAGTCATGACCGCAAAAAGGTAGCTCCATAAACCATAAGATTGACCTAGCGCGACTGTGGTGGTAAATTGATGTCAAACCCTAGCAAGTCAGGGTAAAAGTGTCGATTAAAAACTAAAGCATTTAGGCTTATTTCGATCTGCAGTATGCTGTGCTATCATCACTTACAATTGGACGACTTGCCATTTCAAAAGTATATATATATAATATTTGAATAATTTAAATAGTTTGCTCAGCCTTAATTCCAGAATTTAATCACGCAGGCGGGGTACAATCTCCAAGCAGCTTTTCTATCTGGGTGGTACTGATTCGAACTGGTTGCAATGTTGCTTACCTGTTGTTCGGACATTGCCTGATAAAATAGTCATAATAATCGGTTTACGTTCAGCGTCTGTCGGTGGCTGTCGGTTACATAATACCTGCTAAGCATCTGCTTTCTCACTTATCTGGAGTGAAACTATCTAAGCCGACGAAAGCGGCACTATTGCAGTAACCATAAATGTGAATGAATCAGTAAAAATTTACTTATCTCATATATATGCTAGCGATATGGACACACACTGGTATACGGTTTAGCTTGCACCTGTCCTGTAAACTAGAGTTATCGCTTTCAAAGCAAATCTTCTCATTGCATCCTTTTGAATCCCCATCTCCTCACTTGCCTAACTACCGCTGCCACTTAAAGACCAGCGATTACCTCAAAGCCTCGGCCAGCCAACGCCTCCTGGCATTACTTAAGCCGCCAGTCACTCACAAGCTCCTCACTAGTTTCTTATAGCAACAGCAGCAGTAGTAACAACAGTTCCGGTATAGTACATTCTACATGTAGAATAGCAGACTTGGATATAACATATCCACTCTTCAGGCTACATAATCTTTCTCTGCTAAGCCACTATTGCAGTGTCGCGCGCCAATGGAAATCCCTAAGTACCATACCAATAATGCTCGAATGAAAAAAAAGTGCAGTATGAGATAGGGGTGAATAGGTCCACAGTATTGATTGAACCACACAGTACAGTAGAAATCTAAGGCAATAGACTCGTTCCGGTTGTTACATGGCTTCACTTTGTCCGCTCAGTGTCTTAGCATTTATTTCTAAGAGGCATCAATAACAAGTCATCACTGCTTATACAAGTTATTTACAAAAGCCCACTAATGGCTGACGTGATAGCCAGCTTTATATGATCCTATTGATGATATAAGTTGATTTGATCAGTAGTACCATGTAAAACTTTTCAGTTCCCATTTCTTAGTAGTTCTATATATTTCTGTACGTCAGAAAACACCTAGGTAAAAATAGGCTAATATTCAATACCGAACTATCGTATGCATATGCCAACCTGTCACTCAATTTCTAATTATTTTGACCAATTAGTAGCACTGAAATAAAAGAAATGGTCAAGTGGGCGACGTCGTTATTCGGTCCATAACCTACCCCATGTCGACAAAATTTATTATTTCATGGATTCATAAACTACACACAAGGTTTTGAGTCGGGAACAATCCTCAGTGTTATGCCTTCCTGTTTATGCATCCCTTGCAGCCATTTGCCTAAGCTGCGCCTCAACCCACGGAAGTCCCAAGTGTGTCGCCAAGCTGTTTTCCTTACTCCTTAAGTTTAGCAACAAGGTAAAAAAAAAAGGAAAATATATATATATATATATAGAGAGAGAGAGGAAGGCAACGGGTGAAAGTAGTTAGTAGGAGCATTACCTGCTTGAACTGAAAGGGTGGAAAGGCGACCAGCAAACAGACGCAGACGGTAGTGAGTGAACCCTGCTGTACACCGTTGCCGACACCTGAACCCTGATCGACTTACTCAACCATCCCCGAGCAAAGAAGCGTCTCACTCAGTCAACAACTCTACCTGTCCACGTGCACACGTATCTAGAAATAACCTTATATTACTTTATGACTACCGCCATAAGGAAACGTAAACGGGACTTACTACTAACGGCATCACTATAAGCAGGTAGACGGTGGGCATAAGAGGCACTTATGTCGGCTTTTTTCGGACTCAACGACACTGTGGATCGCAATAAAGATTCTACTGGCAACTACCGTGAGTCTACATGACCTTGCCATAGATGCTGGATTCCTTTCGTGGATCCCATACGCACCCTATTTTAATCATACATGGTCGCGTTTATGTGTGTGCTTGCTCACGAAATAGCATTGGGTCATTTATAGATAAGTGGACACAGATATCATAAAGGCGAAGATTGCGCCCTAAACGTACCTAAATAAGCTTGACCTCTGTATGTGCGTTTGCGTAAGGTATGTGTACGCACAGCGTTTCACGGAAATATAGTTAATCTTTAGGCGGGGCATCGGTTTCTGGTGATTATAAGGGTAAATATGCAATACTGAGTTATTACATTTGTCGTTAATGCCCATTTTTTTAACGCTCATACCTACCGAAACGGGCAGATGGCTACAAGCCGCACTAATTAGTCAAAACAATATTAGTTTTTCTTGTGGCTTAATTATTGTATTGAACGTGAATTTATGTTATATTCATGCTAGTCGATTGGAGGTACCCTGTAGCCTTTCATAGCATTACTGTACTAATAAATAAATATTGACCTATGTCGATATAACCTACTTAAGGATCGATCTCATTGAACAATAGAGAGGTCTGGTTACCTAGAAATGGTATTGATGGGAAGGTTTGTACCTCTCTCGAAAATGAATAAAAAGGACCAATCCGAAATTTAAATCAAATATTGTGTAAATATGTCACCATCTAATATCGAAGCAGCGGGGACAGCAAAGTGACGATTGATGCACTAATCCACCATATACACATAATCCATTACCGGCTGTGAGAGACTGAGTCATTTGTGTGAAGATTTTCCATTTGAACAAGACTGACCAAAACTGTGGTACGTACAATATATGAACACTCCTCTTAACAGGTGTGTTTAGCGTTAACGCACTGTATCAACGAGTCCTCTGTCAACGTTGTTTCTCATACGCTGTTTTTTCCGTATTTTGTCAGATGAATGGTCGGCAGCTCTTAAGAGGTAAAATTCGATCCAATGCCAACGCTAATACAGACAGACAGACACACTCTTTCACACGACTGGATAGAAGGACAGTCGGACGACCATGAACAAATCGATGGTACGGCAACGATGCTCACAGCACTGAAGGAAGTGCTCCCTGCATTTCGTCACCATGTCGACCGGCATTCTAGGGTCCATGAGGCGGGCATGCAGGATAGCTTCACTCCGAGCGATATCTACCTTACAAAAACCGTTTTCAGAGGGGTAGCTTCCCTCCTTAAGACCCCCCTCCCCCCGTGTACGTCATAAGAGGATGTTTCTGACTGACGAGCATATACATATATCATACGTGCTATGTATGGCATTAACTCCAGCAGCCGCGCCATTAATGGAACTTAGTTTGCTTCTAATTGGCGCCACTTTCGCACCAAATTGATAGCTTCAACTTTAAACCCTATACCGAAAGTGTTATCATCTGGACAACAGAAAACTGCAGTCGAAGCTTTTCGAGTGACGTTTCTTTACGTCTTTAGAAACGAAGAAAAAAGAAGAAAAGCGGTTTTCTTCATTTACGCGCAATATCTTGTTAGCTATGGCATGGAACAGAGACGAGGCGAGATTCGCTTTGCGTCAGAGCAAATTTGACGCAGTCCTTCACTTCTTGTCGACCAACGATGACGACGTAACCACTTATGATTATTTCGTGAGAGACTTGTGGTCGCGTCTTTGTGTTGACGAAAGGGGTGACAAGAACGATTTTGAAGGGATGAAGGCCAATCCGCGATTAGGAATGTCGCTGGAGGGGTTCACATGTAAGCAGAGATCTGAAATATGTACTGGACTGGCCGATGAGCTTTAAGAGTTTCCACATTAATCCTTAATTATGTCCTAATAGAAATAATAGTACGCATGCATGCCAACGTAGCTCGATATTGTGTAACGTATTTGTTAAATAGGCCCTCAGACCTAAATGGGTTGTTATATCATCAGTTCATCAGGTACAAGGTGGTATGCTGCGTAGTGCATTAAACATCGGAATAATTTGGAATTTGTTTACCTGGGAAAGCAATAAATAGTTTGCCCGTGAAATCTTAAGGCCTAACAGAAAAATGCTTAGACGCACATATTGGACCTACTATCATCCGTGTGAATTTGTTTGAGCTGATCACAGTAATTTGACTTATCACCATTAGACGTACCTACGAATGTTTCCGCTATAAAATCATGTTGTACGTAAAGGATGTGATGAACGTTAACATTTTACGGTGAAGCTCTGAATCGCATACCCATGAGAAGTTTCATTGTCAACCCAGTCTGCCCTACGCATGTCGATCAAACCGGCCTTACCCTTTTACAGAGCATAAAAAGTTCTTATCTTCAGTTAAAATGATTTCGGTTATCAATTGGAGTTTTTCATAGCCTTGCGTCACGTGCCGCGTACTTTGCCATGTCACTATGACCACCATCACATGTACGTGTACATATAAAGTCTGCCCTAAGAACAGTAGTAATAACGTACCCAACAGCCCGCTCATTTTGTTATAGTTTTAGTAATCATCCTGAAACATTATTGTCTTCCTTTCGCGAGCGTCTGATTAACATTCAGACAGCGTCGTCGTGGTCTCTAGTTAGTTCTTTTGTGGTAACTATAAACGCTATATTTTTATACAGAAAGGAAGGCAAAGGTTGTTAGGGAAACGCACTGATGATGCGGCGCACTCTGCTTTGGTGGCACCGTAGTGTTTCCTTGCGATCTTGTCCTGACAACTGATTAAACGACAACATATCAATATCCGACCGGTCAAAGTAGCTTCCTTTAGCCAGTTTTCTTCATCAATAATAAACATTTCTGGCTTGCCACACAGTAGATGAACATGTTAATAACTTTAATCTTGGTGGACTCTGCGGTCAAAATCCCAGGGCAGTCCGTAGGCGACGACGGCTGACGACGCATTACGGGTAGAAAAACGGTAAGACTTATAGACCGCTCTATACGCGGCGCTTACTTTAGGTTTGCCTCAACTCTGCTACCACTTTAATTTTACGGTAACTAACGCGCTCATAAGCAAGCAGTAAAAGTCTGGAAGGTTTAGCTCGACCCGACCGAATCCTAATCGTTGTACAAAAATATTCGTCTTTCTAATCGTTAATAGACAAGTATGAGTAACGGCGCTTTGTGTTGCTCATTGTGTGTGTATGTGCGCAATTCTTGCTTGATACTCGTCTCCCACATCTCTATTTGCCGGAGGGAAGAACAAGGCGTTAAATCGTGAAAGAACTTCTTTTTAGCTTCAGTCTGTTCCGTCCATGCACAACTGTCGTTCCTGGAACATTGTTGGATTTCGTTACATATAAACGAAGGAAAAAAGAAACTAGTATTAGAGGTGATCATTGTTCATTACGCCGGCAAGTTGGCCTCGCCACAAATACGGCGACCGCCGTCGCTGCTGTCTGGGCTGCTGACCCAGAGCGATGAGCTCCGGGCGAAGGCGGGACTGTGTCATGCCACGGTGGAACGCAGCAAGGCCCTGATACAGAAGCTCTTCCGAGCACTGCGGATCACCGTAGCGAGAAAAAGAGTTGTGGCGAAGCTGAAAGACGTCAGGGACGAGAAAAGATTCGGGAGCGAGAGAGTTAGTCCGGGAACGGCCTTTTAGCTTTTTGCTAGCTTTGCTGCTCTGCTAGTCAACGAAGGCCAGCTAACGCCGCATTTACAAGAACCTTTTGCATTAAGTGATTTTTTCTGCAATAAGGTTTTTCTTTTTATTTGCCTTTCTGTCTCCTTGTCTCAAATTAAACGTTAGTCAACAATGGTGTCAAGTAAAAGGCAAAACGGGAAACTAGAAAATGAAGCGGGTGCGCATGAATTATTAAGTCGAATTTCTATCGAAGCTTCAGGGGAGACGATGCACCCCACGTTGCTATCAGACGAATGCTGTTAACAAATATCGTGTATATCTAAGAAGCAAGATGTGTTTTGGTATTAAGTCTATCTAAACTTGTTACAATGAATAGTTATACACTGAAATGTAGAAAGTTGTTCTACGTCATGGAGATTGCGGTGGATTCGAATAGTATTAATACACATTTTATTCACTTAATGAGTAAATAGCGTTTGATAGAAAACCAGCTGCACATTGAAATTATGGTTAGGAACACACTTGACCGAAATCTCGGTATTGAACTTCAAATCAAGTAGGAGGTGATGTTTAAGGATTAGAGGAAGGACGCCTAATTTTGTCCTACTTTGACACTTCCAGGTGGCGGCCGCATTGGAATTTAGCGATAGCGACGCGCCCCATGCCACACAAGTAGACACCCACTCGACGTTTCAGGTAATGACTTCAGACATTAGATGCCCAACAACTGAGACAAATCATTTGAGTGTCCGGTTAATTTTTATTATCGCTAGTGCAGTGAAATCGTATACTTTCATGATTAATTAAAAGATAGTTCTATCATAATTATACACATCCACATTTTGTTACGACTCAGAGATGCACATGGACTGTCTCTTGAAGTCGTAATACAGTAGCAATACGTTTATGTCTAGCTTATCCATCAAGGAGCTTTATTTTTTAAGGCAGACTGTAGTATACTTCTATCTAGTTAACGCTTAACGAGCTGGCAAACTTAACGATGTAGAACCATGTTGTTGCATTTGCCGCTTGTTAGAAGCAAGTTTCTTTTACTGTGAAAAATCCTTATCAAGGTATTATACTCCTTCTGCAGAGTTAAGGTTTACACTGTCCTTTTACTAACTAACGAGAATGGTCATCTTCATAAACCCGACTTGAGTAAAGGCAACTAGAAGTCCGACAAGTTATTATCAAGTCCTTGAAATATTACGATCGTGTTTATCGCACCGAAGTAGACTGCGTCAGAAGGGCATAACAACTTGCGCCGTCGCGGGCTATCTGCGAAGAAACAAATTTATAGTTTTTTTTTTCGGACTTCAGTTCGAATGCGCCAAATACCGGACGCAAAACAACTTTTTATGTTTTATCACTTAGCGCCGTGTGCAGCAGTAACGACCAGTTTATATTAAAATTCCCACAATGTTTTCCCAAAAAGTAACCCGTTGACGAGCAGGCCCTTCCGAATATGTTCGTACTTCTGCCCTATCACGTCTAATTAACAGGAGAAATGTTTCCTTGAATAAAACACAGAGTGCTGCAATGTACTACCGATGCTATTACCGAAGAATATACTAGTGATACGAAAAATCAATTTGGTGTAAGTTGTGTATTACTAAATATGAATTGAAAACTAAAATTTATTCGATGAAAAAACAATGTATTTCAACTTTTAGTTCCTGCTAACTAAATGTTTCCTTTGGTCCTGCCATTAAATATTGCTCCGGCTTAATTCTCACCCAGTTTCTCCAAACGAGCTCTCAGTAATAAACTACTGTTTTATAAACGGGAATGCAACATCGATCCGTTCAATTCCAGTTTGCAACGAATAAGACATAACAAAGTTATGTTAACAACCCACACCTCATGACCAGTGGCTGCACAGTTCGACCGTAACGTCTTCGCAACATGTCACGCTAGTAGGTCGTTTAGACGACATGACCGCAGAATTGTTTCTATCAAACAATACCTTCTTGGTGTACAACAGCGATGATATCAATGTCGATGCACCTCGATCTGGCTCACCTATTAAATGGGGTTCGTTAGGTAGTCTCTATATGGCCACTGATTCCATCTTTTTTTATCTGCCACATTCTGGCCGAATATGCGAGCAAACTTCAGGGTGTGGCAAACGTTTCGTTGGAAGGCATATAAGATAAACTGTTTGTGTTGAGCAGGCGTACGCTTCACTGGTCACCCAATTGTTGTTATTCATGCGGCTGTATACGGTGAACCCTTGTGAGCTTTACGCCGAAGCGTTTAGCCTCGTGGATATGAGTTTATCTTGGGGGTGTGCGTTTTACATTGGCCTGTTCACACAACAGACTGCTAATACTGGAACCATACAAGATGTCCCTACAGGCGTGTGAGGCGCAGAGGTCGCGTCGCTGAAAGAGATGCCGTTTGTTTAATGGACAGGAAAACATTGTAAGGTCAAATGGCCGTTACGCAGCCTTTTCCACTCTCTCGATTGATCGTGTCTTAGTTGCATCATGCAGATTGTGATTTGGTTGTCACATAATGGCTTTTCTTCTGTGGGGACGCGGGGTGCAGAGGCCCCTAGCAGAGTTGGCGTTGCTACTTCTGTTGACCTTGTCTGAGGCCTAATCGTTTGATCATGCAACTTCGGCGGCGCATCATCACATAAGCGTGTTATCGCTCTAGCAATGATGGCATATCATGATCTCCATCTGTGACTTACGTACCATAAAGAAATGAGGGCAATTGCACGGAAGGGTCAGACAGCCAGAGTTGGCATGGTCTTACCACGTTTCATTTATGCTCTTAACCGAACGTTGCACGATATGCGCAGCCACGAGTGATTGCAGAGGAATACGCGAAAGACATTCCATCACCTTCTCGAAGTATGGGTGAATAAACGGTCGAAGTAAATACCGGGGCGGCCCGCATCACATCCAAAGTGGGACAAACCCTTAGTATTTAATTGTCTAATTAAACAAACATTGAAAGCCAAGTCCCGGTCGCATCCTCTACCTATGCGATCTTACCAGTTAATTTCAATGAGATTATTACATGACTTATGCGTTACGCGATTTTTTGTACTTTCCCTGCTGTACGTGTAATACAGGTGTCTGGCTTGGCGCTCTTCAGCGATGCGTACGTAGGCCGGCGGCCTCGTGTTTGTGTTACTTCTGCTGGTTACGCGTCGTGTTTCGATGGCTCATGCTACAGCACTTCGAAGATGTGCAATGGAGTGGAGGACTGCGCTGATGGAGCCGATGAGTTCTCATGTGAGTGTATTGTAGTTCCGAAGGCTCTACTGTGAGCTGAACCAATTAAATAGCTAGATAAGAATATAAAAATGACAATGAGGAACGCCAAAAACATCAAAATGACTTGATAAACAGTTATTGGTAATAATTGCATCACCTAGATTTGTCCTATCGTTTGAGACGGCTTTCAGAGAGAACGTTACAACGCAAGTGTGCGCCATTAGTATGACAGCCGAATATTAGGTATCGTTTCGTGGAAACCCTTGGCCATTCATCGTTACATACAGTAGAACTGAAATTTTTCCCTTATGCAATGTAAAAAATTGATTTAATACTTTCGTGGTAAGCACGAATGATATGAAAATTTATTGCTTATGGTTTTAGGCTATCGAAGTTCCCGTGAGTTTTTCGTTTCTACACGTATTATTGGGGCGTTCGTATTCTTCGTGGCGTTTTTCTTCTATCTTCTCAGATTAACTTTTGTTTTGTCAGGTTGTCAAATTGCTTTTCCGGATTGAGGGGATAAGTTGTGGATGCCCCCCCTATTCACTAGATCATCATGCCTATATGCTCATCAATGCGTCCACCATTCAGTGTTGATCTTATTGACATAAACAGATATTTTTCCACCGGCCTCAAAGCTCTCAGTACTAACCTTCTTTTTATAGCGGAGTTGTGATCGAAACTATTGGATGGAGTTATAAGGGTTTATGCACATTCTGCCCTCTGACCTTGCGCTCTTGTAGGCTACACGTCACATACTTCTCGTAGGGTGATGATACGGCGACGCGCCTTGTGATCGCTCAGCTCGCAGCTAATCATTTAATACAATGACATCCAAGGCGAGCGACTTCGCCACATCGCTTAGACGTCGCGTGGCGTAATTCCGTCTCTCTTTGGTTATTTCGCTTTCTATTTTTTGCAATGCAATTGCCCTGTGCCACCCGCAGCAAACCTAACGTACGATAGAGCGTCTGCTGCAGCAGCAGTTATATATAGTCGGTGGAAGATAGTTCGTCCGCCATTGTAGCTACTTCTGGTAATCCGCGCACCAGCTGGGCTATCTTTGAAAGTTTAGATTTGCGAGGTAAATCAAACGCAGCCACAACTCATCCAGCTGACACAGTTACGAAGCACTAGCGACAACAAATGCTCGAACAGAGACAGCGGCAGTTGAGCGATTACGATAGATGGGAATGAAAGTATGGAGTCGAACGGTTACTTCGTTGGCTGCTTGGTTTTACAAGCGGCTCCGATGGCCTTTGCGATTATGATGGAGGTAGTGATAGCTAGGACCCTGTTCGTTTCCCATGGCTCTGTCTCCATTTGAACTTTCTTTTTTTTTACAGCCGCCCCGAGGGGCTCGTATTATGAATGAAAATATGGCAGCGATCAAAGCTCTCTTCTTTGAAGTCTACACTTCCTTGTCATTTCGTTTCGTGCTATGGCCGAAAAACAAAAAAGAGAACGTACAAGGAAGCCGAAATTTCGTACTTTTGGTCTCCTATATTCGAAACGGAAACGAGAAAGAAACGAAGCTAGTGAGATATTTGCAGGAACAGCAGCAGTGAACAGTGGACAGAGGCAGGAAGAATCTTCTTGTTATGAGTTGTTATTGCCCTCTTTTATTCGGCTTCGTAGACACTCGTTGTCTCGTTCACGGCGACTACCGGAACAATCGCTCTCTTTCGTTTGGTCTCCATCTTGGTCTCGTTCCCAACAGCAATGGGACCAGCAGAGACTTGTCCGTAAAGGACGGACAATTTTCGTTCTCAGTATAACGCCATCGTTCGCAAAGACAGCAGCTGAAGTAAGCCCAGCGCTTAGCAAATAGTAGTTATATAGTTGCAATTGTAATAGTAGTAGTATAGTTATTGTGGTCAGTCAGTGGTGCTGCTGCTTTCGGTTCAAGGCGGCACACCACGGACATGTACACAAATAGCCTGTAAAAACCTTTTCGGTATTCTTAGATGACGGCTATTCATACGACGACGCGGACGTCACAAGGTAAGCGGCGGGTGTATGACGCGCTTCGTGATTCAGTTTGCTCGCCTGTCTTCTTAGCGCTTCCTTCCTTTTCTAGGCCGCTCATAGAATCTTCCAGCTGCCATTGTCCTCAGGCTAGGTGCAGTTCACAATATAAACAGCGTGCGCTGAGGTCGTAGCAGACAGACTGTCTAGTAAAGTAAAAAAGTGCTTATGTTTCATTAAGATTTCCGACGGCCATTGGTAAAGAAAGGCCACATGTACTGCAAAACAGGAAGAAACGCACACAGTTTGGGGGGAAATCTCGGTCAATTCGGACACCTGTCACAATATCGTGAATAATGAGGGCGAAAATGTGTGAAAGGTTGGAAAAAAGCATAGAAGGCTTGTGTCAGGTCTGTCATCAACAAATATGATCATGCTTGCACGATTCGTTCAAATAAACTAGACCCTGATAGAGAGACCTTTGTTAAAATGCCTGTTCGTTAAAGGTGCATTTTAATTGGGATAAAACGGTCCATTGCGGCTATCAGCACAAAAATCGTACATACGTTATATACTAAATCTCAATTGAAATCAGGCAGTATTGAATTTTAAAACTATGCAAGAGATTGTGACATCGTTTTAAAACTTGAAAGCTCTAACTAACCAAATAATTTATAATAATTGGAGAAATGTAACATACAGGTCCTCAGTTATTGCAAATAAGTCTATACAAAGTGACATGAAGCGTGAGGCAAACGTAGGTCCATAAAAACGATGAGAGCAAAAAGTTGTCAAAAAAATTGATTTATATAGTTAGGAAGTAAGTTAAAAGCGTAGACAAGAACCGTGTTTTTTTCTTAAGTGCACTTTTTTTTTTTTTTTTAATATTTTCTAAGTCGCAGAAATAATGCTGTCTCTGCTAGGAATCTACTTTTATTTCAATCTGTAAGGTGGGAATGAAAAATATTTGTAAACCGCCATTCACAGGTCATCATCGGCACACCATCGACTGGGAGAAATTTCGGAGCACCCGCAGGAATTTAGTTAGTTCAGATTTCGAAGCTACTTGGCTATGGAAAGACGTCAGCATCAGGTATAACTAAATTTGTCACTCTTTATTTTATCTGGCAAAGGCAAATCGGATGGCTTAAAGCTAACTGGTAGACTCTGTCGTTTAAAGATATTAAACCGCCCGACCTATCAGGCAGCAAAAAGCGGGTCTGTAATCTTTACACACGTAATTGTCTAATATAGGCAAACATTTTCGCTTCTAAGAAGGGTCATGCGACAGGAAGTTTTTACTGAGATGTCTCTCCTAACCTAACATTCCTATATGCTATATAATATCAATACGGGGCAGCACGTTTAATTAAAGTATTCAATGTGATCCCATTGTGTAACGAAGCGCACCATTTCGTATCTCATCTTTTACAGCGCTACAGGCCAGAGCTTAGTGTCAATCTCTGCACCATCCAGCTCTTGCCCCTGGGCAATCTCTGCTGTTGCCATATCTCCATTTCGTGGAATCTACACGCTACCAAACCCTGAAATGGTGAGCGAAGGCTTGTGAACCCAACTACATTGACTAATTTTTTTGCTCGAAACTGGAACAGTAGAGTAAACAACGTATCTTTACGATACTTTCCCTGATACAGGATAAAGCCACTACGGAAGACTGACTAAGCTGTTGATTTTATTCGTAAGCAAAATGATAGGTTACTTTCGGCGTCATTGCGGCAGTCTGATTTCTTTTAATACTAACCGGTGAAGAATAGGATTTTTTTCTTACGTGCAGAATTTTAATGAAAAATTCTTAACCGTATTCGGTATGCCCTGACGTATAACCATTATGCTTGTACAGCTCTCTAGCTGGCGTACTTAGAACCAGTATGCATGCACATGTTGACTAGGTAGAAGGTGAGCTTGCATTACTGTAAACATTGTCGTCGCACCAAGGTCCAATCAATTGCAAAGCTTAGGACAAACGAAACGCTTGCTTTCATTCTGTCAGTTAGCGATGAAAATGAAACCCCCATCTTCTTTCAGTGACAGTTACCTGTTACGTTCTCGTCCTCCCCCCTCGCTGCCATCGCGCGCTCATCTTTCTTAACCTAATGTAACGCAAAACCTTAATGGATTGAGATGACTCGTTTCTGATGTTGTTTAGAACAACAATGTGGGCAAGCCGTCGCAAGCTAGCAAACACCAATAGGGTAGCTATTCTCACCTTGAGTTCAGTCCTAAGCTCACTCACTTACCCTATCTTCTCTAGACATCAACTTGTTTCATGCGTCAATGATTAACAAATGAAGTGAAGCAGTGAAGCAATGCGATACGGTAAACCTCGACTATTTACCTTAGAGTAGAACTGTTGGTAATACTATGTTGCAGTGATTCAACGAGTAGAGAACAGGGAAAAAAGGAAAATCACGACAATGCCTGTCGCAATCGCAGAGTGTCGGCGCCAGAATCGTTTTTCTCGTCTGTTGCAAGGCCATCACCGCCAACAGCCATCGCTCACGATAGACTCTATCGAACGGTTGAAAAGTTGGAGAAAAATCGGCGAACGCCTGCCTCACTGATGACGTAGACAAGAACACAGTGTTGGGTCTCTCTTTCAATAGCGATAGTAGTAATAGTAACAGCAACAACAGGTCAGCTAGTATAAAACCAGCAGCTAGAGCAGGGTTAATTGTACAAAAGAATACAGGACAGCTCGTCCTTTCCTCGGCAACCCATCGGACCCACCCCGTTCCGCTATCAGGAAGACTCAAAATACGAAAAGGGTGTTATCTTTCGTCCTCCGCTTTCGAGGACGACGTTGAACGCGTCGACGTTAATCACAACATCGATCTTTCTTTTTATTCAGACCATAATGGCTGCGAAAGCTGCCGTTACACCGGCGTGAGCAGCAACTAACTGGATTCAGAGCTAGTCTCTGTTGAGTCGTCCTGAAAGACTTTTCCCGCGTAGATGCTGACGACAGCGAGGAAGAAAACGAGGTTGAGGTCGCAGATCGTATGATAGAACTAAAGCAGAGGCCGCTCCAGCAGAGGCAATGGGGATGCCAACTACGGCCGTAGCCCTTTGCTGGGGGAGGAAGCGAGAAAGAAGGCGAGAGAGAGAGAGAGAGAGAGTCACGGATCAGATACCAAGACGCAGTGGTAACCAATACTTCTTCCGCTGTTCAGATCGGATAGCGACTCGTCTGATACTGCTTTCTCCCTTAAAGTTGTCGATATGTGAGTGGGCGAATGAAATTGCTAGAAATTTACGTTACATTGTAGCTAATGACGATGGGGTCTTTAGGTCCACAAGGTAAGCATCACTCCGCTATAGAGAACATGGTCTCTTCTAGCTTCTGATATCGTTGCAAGTATGGCGTTATAGTTTTATACCGTTAACATTGTATTCATCTATTCTCCCCATAAAGTTAGAGCTACGTCTACCTGCCTCATTTTTAATGCTTGATTGCGACATACGAATTATCGGTTAACATCGATTTCGCGAAGATGTGATTCAAGTGCGTGAATCATTCCTACTGAATCATAGCAGAGATCTTTTGCTTAAAAAGGGCGTAGTCCGTTTTTGCAGACAGGTATTCATTAATCGTAAAAGTATATCTGACTTATCTGTCTGTGCGTTTGTCACGAATGGTAACTCTACCACTATTCAGTTGACTGGAATAATATGGATACAGAATGCTTCGTGCACCCATTACTCGTTCGGTCGGTCACTAATTATCGTTCTGTTTATCGACCTAGACCATGTATGTGGGTCGCATGCTTCGTGCCCAACGGGGCTAGTCAGGTTACTGAAGTCGCACCCGACCCGTATATCCGATGTTCATAGAAGTACGATATAGATGCTACAGCAAATTACTTAATAGTGCTGTCCTATATTCTTTTGTTTGACCTAACAATGTAAATGTTGACGAACTTATACGTTGTATAATTGCTGGAAGTAATTTTTTTATGAATCCCTCGTACCTTTCACCTGCTTTTTCGCTGACGCTTGGATAAAAAGTTATCAGCAAACCACTAGAAGAAGGCACGCTTTTCTTGCGTTGCTGGTAGTCATCGTTGTTATCCGTCGTCCATTTCCGCTAATGAACTATTCCTCTATTCGCTACATTTGAAAAAAAACGTTTCCCAAACTGGTAGACGAGGACACCACAACACAGAACAGCCCTTCGGCCACCGCCATTTTCAGAGCACATTTTTCTACTTTAATTGTAGACAAATGCATTTGGCCAAACAAAAGTTACCTTCAATTTGTGACTACCCTCTCACGCAGTGTTGTCGCTGCTGAGAATCTACATGATCCTCTTTCTTCAAGTTTTTACGAGATTTTTGCTCACTGCTTTAACCCCAACAGCTTTTGTCATTATTTACACGTGGTTTGATGTCTCTATTAGCGCGTTTATTTTTTTTTATCCAGTCGTCCATAGCATGCGTAGTCGGCAGCAGGTCGTCCACTATGTATACGAAACTGAACCAAAAAAAAGGTGTCGAGATAACGAAAAACCAGGCGAAACTTAGAAAAAATAACTAATGTTATGCTGTTAGTTTGTTAGAACAGCAACAGCCATCTAGCAGCTGTGGCGTGCATTTATGACATATGAAGACATTTACTGAACTTGAGACTTGCTCAGAACATAAGTGATGGAAATTAGGTGACGGAAAATATCGTCGTGTCCTTCATGATGACCAGATATTTAGAACTACACATTCTGATACGAATCTTGCGTCAGGTATAGAACTTCCAACACGTTTTTCAACCCGATAAAAGAAACACGAACATACGTTCTTCCTATACAAGTTTAATCGTCCCTCTCTGCCGAATCACTTTGCCGTTGCATTGTTCGGGCGCCGACGTAAATATATACTGTTTCGGAGTGCGTATTATATAGTGGAACATATAGAACATGTAGATCTCTCCAAGATAGCTAGTCTCATCCAGAGATCCGAGACTTCATCCGGTCGGCGTCGTGACCCTCTTCCCTACCTATTTCACTTTCGCTCTTATAGCCATCGGCATTCCTTCTATTTGAACGCAGATGACACGTAAGTGCCATCCAGAAAGGCCACGATCTATGATGTGCGTCAGCAGCAGCAAATGATGCAGCGACAAATAGGGTGTCTGCCGGCAAGTAACCATACGACCCCGTGTGTTCCCTCCACCCGTGGTTCAAGCGTTTGGGATTTGGGCATGTGAGAGCGCAGAACCGGCTCGTGGAACCAAGGTCGCTAGTGACGAGAGGAAGGCGGCGTAGTAGGCCGAAGTTGCGGAGCCGACGACGACTTCCTGAAAGCTGTGCTACTTTTCTGAAGATAAAATTAGATGCTTTTGCGTTCGTCGTGCCTTCGTTGAGCACCCCCGATTATTCCATGTCCCCTGAACGACCAAGGCGAAAATCCTTCGGTCCCTGCTTAACCCTGTACTGTGAACGTAGGCAAAGATCCTCGAATACTGCATACCAGCATAAAGTGACAGAGAATGGAACTCGCGAGAGCTAGGTACTAAAGCGTGTAGAAATAGGGTTGATACGTAGGGCATTTCTAGCTACAAAATACGGCTTCTAGTAGCCCTCTATAAGTGTAGGCATGTAGACTGTTACTGCTGCGATTTGAGATAGCTTCCAATTACAATTGCCAACAATACTTTAAGCTAGCCACCTTATTTTCGAATAAGTGACCTTCTCGTAATAATAATCGTAGTGTAAGTACTTCTTCGAATGAATGATCGGCTTCGTAAAGGAACTCGAACTATCTATGAAAATGTCATAGTAAAGAAAGATAGAGCTCCAAAAGAGCGTAGTAATTCGGCGATACAAAATGATATTATTGACGAAATAAGTATCTATTAAAATAAGCAATGACTGATAAAGCCTAATCGAGTAGGTAGATAGATTAATCAGGCGGATCGACCTTACAAAACACGCACAAGTTGCATTTCTGTTTTCATAAATTTATTCTGATTACTCTGTCTTTTGCGACACAAAACAAATACATTAGACAAATATTAATCTATAAATCGAATCGTATTAGCTATTTCATGCATAGTTGTCTCGTATACATTTTTGTCTTTTAGATGACCTCATCGCGTCCGTTTTATATGTCAGTCGACGCCCCAAAAGCGGCTCAGCTGGGCGAGCATTTTTCGGCTCGCGTGGCGCTGTTCAATCTTGGCCAAACGAAGCTCGAGGTGCTGGTAACTCTGGCCAATAGCCTGGACTACAAATTCGTTTACGTGAATGCCCCCCTAGACAGCTCTTCTAATGGAAACTATCGCTATAGCAAACATCACCAGTATAGGAGCGACGATGAAAAAGCACAGAAATTAAAAAGCATCAGACAGCTTCAGCAACACCATCAACAGCCCATCACGATGTACGGCGAGCATCAACATCTTGTGTTTGTAAGTGTACTATAAGCTTCTGCATCCTATTGGTCTTTTCTTGAGACTTCTTTTTGTCATTCCGATTAGCAAGCCTAACCTTAGAAAAATTCTGTCTGGGTACTTTCAATGTTACGTTCAACAATCTGGTGGAAAAAATAGAACGGGCTAAATGAGATAAATCACTGGACATTCAGCACAAGAACGGCACAAATGTCAACACTTATAGGTTGCAACTGTGTTCATTACAGCTCTGGCCACAGCGTCCCGTAGTTCTGCTTTTCCCAATCGTGGGAATTCGGCCCGGGGAGACGAATCTCACCGTCGCCGCTAAGACTCAGACCATGAAGACCTCTATGTCCACTACCATCAAGCTTATCGTAAGTAAGCATTGTCTTAAGTAAACAGTGCTATATATATATATATATATATAGAATGAAGATTTGTCTAGTCTTCTCAAATCCATTTGCCACTGAGTACAATAAATAAGTTTGTTCGTTTGACTCCGATCGAAACAGTATAATGGAACGTAAACAAATTCCGTAGAATTTCTATATTTATTCAACATCCTGATATAGAAGCCTTTCTAGACGACCACCCATGTGTTCAGATTTCGCTTTACAGACATACTTAAGTGCCTTTTCGTTGCCGAGATAAGGGCCAGTGATGCTTTTCGACTACGGAAGTCTTTATATGAGTCGAATAAAAACAATCAAACAAGCACGATCCATAACACAAGATCTTTTGATTATGTTAGCTACTCATTTCTGAGCTTCGGTATAATGGACGTTAGCATAAACGCATGTCAGCAATCAGGAAGACAGCGCACTTTCGACACCGGGAATTCGTGATGTTGTGCCCCCGTAAACTTCATGGCGCACGTCGATTTCGTAACATCGTTTCGTAATTTTCGTAATTTTTATTCAAGCTAATTATCGTACGGCACGTGACACGGAGTCTTTTGTAGCCTAAACAAGAAGTGCCGGGGCCTTTGGAATGACCGGTTCTCCAAGCTTTGTCTGGCCGACTTACTGCCATGCCAATGATAACGCTTTTCCTGATGCCTTACACCTCCTGTGGCTTCAATGTGCTTTTGACTTACCACCAATAAGCCACAAAGCGCGAATCCACTCACACTGGGTTAGCCATCATTTGTCGATCGGTCTATGTCTATATTTAGGCGGTGCATAAAGTACTTTGCGTCCTCACTAGCCACCCAGTTCTCTTTTTTCATATACACAAGCTACCTGCTTCTAATTCTATTCTAGGATCTTAACCACTAAGGTGGCCAGTGACGATTAAGCAGAGAGCCCATTATAACCTGTTCCGTAGTTGCTATCGAATAGAGTACCATTTATGTCCGCCATCTTTGGCGGCGCGTGACGCTGAAGTTTGGTAGACAAAGACCTCACCTACAAGTAACGGTATTTGCTTACAGCTCCATCAATAGGTTCGTTGTGCTTGCGACTGCAAATAACTTTTCGATATCAGCTTTTTTCTTGGACAAAGACCTTTAGTTCATACGATAAACAGTAGAGAAGTGGATGAGTCGCTATGGAGACTACTTTCTGGATTAAGTCGTTCGTTTATGCTGACGAGGGTACATGCTCAAACGGATATAAATTACCCAGTGGTTATGTAATATTAAAAATACTGAAGTTGCATTTAATGAAGAGACCTGAAGATACGTATAAATTCAGGAATTTTGAATAAAATGATTACTACCACGAATCACTTAATAAGTAGCCCTAATGTCTTGTATCTCTAGTCTTGTATCTCTAACCCTTAGCCTTGTTTAACTTATCTGTATAGCCTGAGGGCTTCGAATGGCGGTCCCGTGTTTCATTATTGGTGGACATTCCACGAGGGGCATACGTCCTCAAGCAACTCGACACAGGCGTGACCGGGTTGATGAAGGAGATGCCGTTCGGCCCTGTAGGATTGAAACATATGCCGGTTGGTGACTACAGCACTGCTGAAATCATCATTACAGGTGGGTAAACAATTATGTAATATTGAACCCGTTTGCCAATAGACTCAATGTAAATTACCTTGTAACAGTGTGACTGGTCTGCAATGAGTGACGCTTCACTACCGGAACTGAAAAGCGCAATTGTTTTTATGCAACGTTGACGTCAATTCTTTGCTTTCATACTGACATCGGTTCTTTTACGACAGGAAGCGCATTTGGCCCGCCATTTGCGACGTCGCCACTTACCGCTGGTACGGTATTTGGCCTTCCTGGCGAGACGGGCGAGGCGAATATGTTTTCGTTTGCTGCAAGTCTACTGTCACTTCAATTGCTTCAGGCCAACAAGAACCTCGTTCGTAGGCATCGTCATATTTTTCAGCACCTATTTCTCACGTACCAAACCCAACTCAGTTACCAGAGAGATAATGGAGGATTCGCCATGTTCACACATTCGGACGCTCCTGCTAGTGTTTGGTAAGACAGAAAAAATTTGTTAGCTAGATAACGATGGCGCCTTGATAAAGACCGGTCTGGCTAATACTACTTAAAGACAAGTGACAAATGAATTTTTCTAAGAAAATATTTTGTCCTGACATTGTTTTCCCATGTGTCACAAAATCACACTTCGAAATAAATGGGGCGGTTTGCAATATCAAGGTTACCCCACTATGTGCTCTGGTAGAAACAGAAGAGAGCTTATGTATATACGGTTCAAGGTACCTGCTCTAACGCATTTCGATTGGGAGAAGAAAGTTCGAGAAGCGAGACACACATCGAGTGACGGATGGTCCTAAAGTCTCATGCTGTTAATGTTTGCAGCCATTCTGTGTTTCTAAAGAAGACGTACCTGAAATGGTTCCCGATGGTAGTAACACATTCGAATATTTGTCCTTAAAATTGTTATAACGCTTAGCCTGTAATTTAGGAGTCTAGTGCTATCTTTTTCATATCCTAGGCGGTTAAATACTATAGAGATAACACCTCGTTGCGAAAAGATTAATTGGATATACACATAGTATAAGTAGAAATATTTAGGCATATTTTCCCTTTAATGTATCATAAAATACATAAAATCTATTACATTATGCGTCCATCTCTCATGCTGTAACGTTCTTTTTCAAATATCAATAATTGTTTACCTCACACAATTCTGATCGTCATAAGATCTAGCGCTAAATACTTGTATGCAAACATAAAACAAATTACCTGATACTGAAATATCCATATATTAAATTCAGATAAAATAATCAATATAGCATCAGTTGCTTTAAGCGATCAGCGTTTTGTACTTTTCCACCGTACCTAGGAAAAGCCAAATATATGTGTCCGCCATATTTACCGATGTAAGCATTGACATAAGGTGTATTTCTAGTTTTCATGTATTTTCATTTAACTATCAGCAATACATCAAGTACATAATACAATAGTAATTTTCCATGGCCAGCAACCGTCCTGTGGGGGTTTCGACGTTTAGACGACAAAATGACATACTCTCACAATCTTCTTCGCCATCGCTAGTTTACGAGACTCATATAGTTACTATACATAGACCAGTTCCTCTCCTTCCAATCTGTCCTCGCTCTCGGACTCACTGTGCGTACGCATATCTTACCAGCATTTGGTCTTCTTTGCCAGTGCGCCTTCGCCCGTCTAGCAGCAGCTGATACAGAAGCCAGCCGTGAATGCATTTATCAACGATAATTTCAGGCTGACCTGGTATTTCCTAGGCGTGTTTGCTCTATTTCGTCATTTCGCGCTCCGTTGAGAATCCATCCTCGGACGCCATCAAACCCATGAGCTGCATTATGTGGCCAACTTTCCGCTCAGTTGTATCCTGCCCGTTCCCATTGTTCTTTCTCAGCAACGATCACCATTGCCGGCCCTCATAGTCAAAGCAAAGGAAAACCACTACAGAGCAAGGTCGAAGGACCGAAGCATCTACGATCTCGAAGGAAAGCGCCAGCAAGCCGGCTAATGGCGTCCTTGCAAGACTTCGCAACACCGAACAACGGAGGCCGTTTGTACCGATCACTGACATGGGGCAGACCGGGACGCGGGGCGAAAGCAGCAGCGGCACAACCCGCTCCACATTGTTCTCTCCGCCGTATAGACGAAGTATAAGGCTCCGCCTACGACTGCTACCCCGAAGGTTGCAAGCCGGTCGGTTCCGCGCTGCCATCATCTGTCTCTGAACGAAAAACGAACAGTTACTGCTTCGGCTGGACGGAGTCGGTGGCCGATTCGGGACTCCATCGCGAAGTTGAAGAGCGTAGCGGCCGGCCAGCACAGGGTTGGCCGACGCGTGGCGCAGAACAACGAGACGGCTGTTGCCGCTGTTGACAGCAATGGATTTGTTCGGACCGCTTTACAGAGAAAGCAGATTAGGAGGAGATAGAGCGACAGGGAGAGAAAATGGCAAAGGAAGCGGCCAGAGATGATATCCATGACGGGTACGCATGAACGCTGAGTGGTGTCTACCCACATTCACTCGAGTTCAGCCCAACCGTTTCTTTGTAATCATGATTTGCACTGTTTCTCTCGCTTTCATCATATGTTTTGTCTTTGTCTCTACCACTAACTCGGCAGGCAGTACCCAGTTCCTTTTCCACAAGAACCCTTTCGTTGCGTATTTGATATATTCTTGCACATTGAAAGTAAGACTACTTGACACCAAGATCGTTTGTATCCTGGCGATGCGTGACCCGTTGCGACTTCTGTGTGCAGCATCGCCGGGTCTATTTGTACGAGATAGTGACTTTGAGCAAAACAGCCGCGGAGATCCGTGTATTTCTAATTACGTTTCGGTCTTTTTCGCTGTTGTCGCCAAATCCTGTGAACCTTGATCGCTAAACAGACGCGTTGTTTTCGATCGAACTAAGAATAAGCTCTAAATAATTATGCGATGCACTACTCGAGGGAATGAGAACGGAAAAAGGATCAAATGACGGATTCGCCAATATTATACTGCACTAGCCAAAAATCACGAACCTCTGGAGCTGTTAGAACCCCGGGAGGCTAGGGGTTGCCCCAGTAAAAAACATCGTTGGCGTTTGGGGATCTGAACCATGGTCACAATAAATACGAAATATCTATCTGTGCACAATGAGTTAAATTATCAGCGACGCAGCATCGCCAGAAGTGCCAATAGTTTTAGAATCAACAACGGTAGTTAAGAGTAGTGCACGAAACTGTCAACGTATAACATGTTCAAGGCTACCCCCAAGATCATCCGTTTTTCTGTTATTGTCTTAGTTATCGTAGTATCGTGTAGTTGTCGTAGTTATTGTCTTTGAGATGCGGTGAAGCGGACGTCCGTACTAATACTCAAATCATTGTATTATGGCAGGCTACGAGATTCAATTTCAGAACGTATCTTTATGGCTGTTCAAATAAAGCTATTTTCAATACACACATATGAAATCACAGTTTACTCAGGGCAGGTTGTCAAGTGACAATACCAAATAGTTAATTTTTAACAATCCATTATAGTATACACGACGTGCTGCTATATTTAGACTTTCTGCCATTTTCTGAGTCGACTGAAGTCACAGGGGTGCAGATATCGCGGCTCTTTCATGAACTTACGTAGAAAAGACAACAATAAGCGAAGGTACCGAATCAACTCATGACGTCTCATCCTGTTAAACTTGCATGCTGTGCGGAGCATACATTCTTCCTACACAGACTAGAAAATCGATCACCATCGCAAGTGACGTTGGCCATGGCTTACGTCCACTGAAGTTGACACTACTCAGGTGACTTTCGGAATCTGTATCACCTTGTATTCCATTGTCCGAATCAAGGGGTCCGAAAAATCTCAGGGATTCTTTTTGAGTCAACATTTACTGGGAGACGCACGGAGATTCAAGTGGCTGGCGGATGGCGTATCAAACGCCGATCTGGGTGATGCCCTCGAAACGTATGCTATCCCGATATTCATGTAATATAAGGCGAAAAAGATAATTTTTTTCCCAAATTCTACACTGGACGCGTAAGTAGTTGATTCTCCAACTTAAACTCGGGAGAGACGTGGAGAAGATAATATTTACAATGGAAACTTATAGTACGTTTGTGACTCCAGGTCATACGCGTCTTGTCACACAATTAAAGCTGACGTATCGTGCACCTTAAACGTTATCCTTGGGAACGTTGTTCTCATACGGAAGTGACATCCCCAACTCCCGCAGCCAGTAGTAGGTCCTTCTTTGCTGCGACAGCTGTAGTCGGCAGCGCAGCGCCTATTGAACGAACTGCTGGCACTGCAAAAAAAAAAAAGGAATGGTCTACTTCATCTAAGCCAGGAAGGATTCAAGAAGTCTGAGGAGCGTTCGATTATAGTGGAATAATAGTTCTTTGAACTTGCAGAAGTTTGTCGATGGTGAGGACGAGAACACGTCAACTGGCAACAGGGTGATTTTATTGCACTCACAGGTTTCATTATGGACGATTATATGTCATATGCCTAAGATCTGGCAATAAAATAGTCGGAAATATTTTTGAAGGATTATTTAACAAAAGTCTGCCCCGCTGTAGAAAGTCAAGTTGTGTATGACACATAGCCTACAGCAATGTCTTCTAGAATCTTGGGTTAGGTCTTCCTAAAGTTCAATTGACGGCTGTGCTGGGCTTCGGCCCTACACAAGGATACCGTGGAAATCGTGCGTAACACTCATGTGCGTCATTTTATTAATTAGTATATTCTACTCAGAATCTGCTCTAACTGTTTGGACCACTAAAGAGTGCGACTGAGACACGCATCGACATTATTTTAGGAAGTGATTTCACCACAGACATCGCAGCGGTTGATGGATTGTTGACCGGTATGATCTTCACTATACTGACACGTAACGATGTACGTAAACATACTGTGTTGCCGTCCACTGGTTAAAGCGTTGTTACTCGACTCAACAATATTTGTACGTTAGGCGACTTCATGCAACCGTTCACGGCCGGAATATGCGCAATTAGCCAATTCATCGTTATAAGATCTACGGCAGCGTACAATTTAAGTGCTTGCGAAAGATGGAGGAATACCGTTTTTCAAATATTAGCAGTTGATTTAACTCGGAGACGACTTTTTCACCCAGGCGCCAAGAGAAATTACATATTTATTGACTCGATTGACTAGCATTAAAAACTCAATTCAACAAAAAGGTGCGATCTCAGGAAGACGTACTCAAATCGAATCGTATTCGTACGATATAAGCTAGAAGCTTAGGTGGGGCGGCGGCGTCTCCTACAGTATCCTGCCCAGACTTTTTGAGCACACTACCATAGGTTCTGCGTCAGCGAGACGCGGTCAAAGATACGAAGAACTGATGTAGTGCTAACAAACAATACATTTTAAACGTCATTTTCAGTTGAAAGGATGTATACGTCAAAACGGCCCTCTGTAGCTTCAATTTTTCCCATTTTACATGGAACCTGTACTACGAACAGTAGAAGCAGACCCAGGAAAAATACCAGGATCCGAAATCCTATATATTGGAGACAAACCTCCCCAGACGTTAGGGGGCGCCGATTATATATTGTTTTTGTCAATGTTACAAATAATTTTTTTCATAGTCATTGACATTTCTCTTGGTCATACACAGACTGTGAGCATTGCTCTCAACATTTGGAAGTCAGCCAAAAATTGCTAACAAGCTTTACTGAAACTTAATTCGTTTTTACGCCATCTGGATGTTCGCATTGCCGGACCGAAGTGTAAAAGTAGATTTTTAAAAAGCCCAAGGAATCATGACAAAAGTAAAGCTAAAAAGGCGAAGCGTTTTTCCATGTTTTGCGATAGTGTTTTTTGTTGCGACAATACCCAGCCAGAGTTTTAACCTATTTAGCCTTAGAATGGAAACGTATGTTCTGCACGAACCTGGGACTTTTTTGTACAAAAATAGGAACTCGGTTTAGGCTCCTTAAAAACGGAATTTGTTGTATTCGTTAAAAATCGCTAGATTAATTTGCTTCAGAAATCGAATGCGGGAAACGTCTCTTTACGTTTTGAGTGGTTTCTCTCTGAGCGCTATTGTGTCTGAAGCGGCCTTACGATATCGGGAGATACCAAAGCTCCTTCGAGCGACGCGCCTGAAGCGCAACCTATCCGATACGTCCAAAAGCTCTGTATTGGCGCCCCATAGATAATCAATCACGCTGAAACATCAAAAACTCTTCGTTAACACTAATATGAAGTATTTTTTGCTAGGAAGTTCACACTCGTACTCTCTTAAGTATCGAGGGCTAGGGAAAAAGACTTTTCAGCCAGCGCTAACCTATAGTTTGTATGTAGATTAGATAATCTAGAGAGTGTAAATTATATAATCGTAAACTAACATGATGTAGAAAAAAGCTAGGTCTAATCTGGGTTAAATCGTCTTAATACCCGTCTGTCGGTTGAGGATTTATTGATTATAACATCGGAGCATTCAGTTGGAGGTCTATCAAAACAACCGTTTTCCGTACGGCGTCTTAGATTGCCAAAATTCTGGTTACAAGCGAGGGCAGGTTCGGACTTCGTAGAAGGGTGCGTTAATTTTATGGATAGAATCATATTTGAACTATAATAGATGGAATTATTGAAGTAAAGTACTGGTTATTTCCTGCCCACTGCCTTCTGAGATTATTAGAAAAAGATTCAGTCTCAAATTCGTGGCAGCCTTGGCCCGCATAAACTTCCATAAAACGTCCAGTTGGAGCACACCTACGGCCTGGCGTGCCCCTATCTGGCTATAATACGTCTTTATATATATATAATAGATACGATTTAGCTAGAAGGGTTCTCGATGTTCTATGGAAGACCCTAGAGTTCTGGTAAGACATTTGAGGATAGGCAAGGTTACAAAATGATCATTGAACACCTTGAAGTTTCCTCCCTGAAACTTTTCTATTCGATGCCTCTGCCTCTCGAGCTGCAAAAAAAAAACTGAAAAGTCTTGCGCGCATCTGAAGCATAAAGAAAGCTGCATTTCGATGGAGGTAAACACAATTTCGCTACCATCTTGTAGAAGGGAGATGCACGATCATTCCAAAGGGTTCTCAGTGTTCTCTTCTATCTCGCTTTCCTCCGTTACTAGATCCCTTTACCCTTTCGCCCACCTGATTCGATGTCCAGCCACAAACCGCGCTCGATTCCCTAACCTCGTTTTCCTCCTTTTGGAAAAAAACTTGCGCCGAATTGTCGTCGACAGTTGAATGAACAATTTGCGGCGACCGCTGAAGTCGTCGTGAACTTGCCAAGGTCGAACTACCCGAAGCCGCTACCAGCTATGACTGTTATGACCGCAGTGTTATTTTTAACAACTTCTCCAGCATCGTACAGCCTTGAAAAGCACGAGATACACCAACGATGTGCCAGTTTACTGAAGCCAACAAAAAACTCAAAAGAAAAAGCAGTTTTCTCGATGAAGGGTGTAAAATAGCTAGCCAAATCCGTTGCATGCGTTTAAGTGGGAGCTTATTTGCAAATGAATGTGGTTTCTTAATATTTGTACGATTGGCAGCGTTGAAACAATTTTTGTACTATAGACCCATGGACGAAGGATAATTAAGATCCTACTAGTTGCAGTGCTTGCAAAAAGGACACATAACGTAACTTTCTGGCTCAATCCAGAAAAAGCAGCGCAATGTAGTTAAACGACGTGGCGGCTTTCGGTATATTTCCCAGAGGCCGGTGTACGCTGAACCGTTTGAGCTAAATGTTTAGAGTTAATATTATGTCCGACGCCCCCCGATAAGCATTCTATCAGACGGCCAGCCTTCTAGCTGGGCCGTTCGTCGAACTTAACCCAATTGACGAGCTTTCATTTGGCGCCATCAGACATGATTGACACCGGACAAAAATCTTGCTCACACACAATCTATAGTAGTAGTAATATTATCACGATTATTATCGTCCAGCGCGCGTGTTTGTCTAAAAGATCAGCTGTTGGCAACCATTGGACTCGCCCGACTCACTCACTGATTTTGAAAATCAGTTGGTTACCAACTCGATGCATTATACGCTAGCCAATCGTTCTTCGTAGCGTTGTTCTTCCTTTCCCATTTGAGGACCTTCGAAGCACCAGGTTAGACGCGGAAAGTTACTCTATTATACAACTATATACGTACGGCACAAGTGGGCTCCTAGTTTGTAGGTATTAACATTGAGTTCATTGCTTGTTTTCAGGTTAACCGCTCTAACGGTCCGCTATTTTCACAAGGCTAATCGTCTATTTCCTGAATGGAAGAACTTTGTCCATATTGATCATAAAGTTCTCGAGAAGGCGCTTGCTTTCTTGCTTGCTTCGCAAGCAAAAAACGGCGCGTTTCACGATCACGATGGATACTTTACTTACGATCGAAAGATGTCGCTCAAGGTAAGAAAATTACTGCAAATAGTTATTTTTTGTGTAGCGTTTTCGTAATAACTTTGAGGACTGTATCACTCAGTTTCGGAGCCAATACAACACCGCTTTCGTGCGCGAAGGAGTACACTTCGATTGATTCAGCAATAACAGCAGCCGCAATTGAAGACGGCTGTGCATCGTTTGGCTTAAGTAGTATAGATGTAAAGCAAGCAAAGTAAAAACCTTTCAAGATATAGCCCTGAGACGATCCACATCGCCAACAGAGGCCAGCTGACATACTGCCGAGCAGAGGTAGAGTGTGGTGAACGTACGTGACAAAAACAGTCATATCATTTTGAATGATAAGCGAGGAAATTGAGGTAGCATTTGATAATTACTACGGTCGTTCATATCCACTTTCATAAATGAGCCGCGTGTGTCCGTGTTCGTACTGTCGCCATCTTGCATAACACCACCGCAGATAACCCGATTCGAATAGCAGCTATTCCACTAGAGCTACCTCGACTCGTTTAGCCGTCGGCGACTCGATTGTAAATAGTGGGTAGCCTTTCCTAACTCCGTTACTACTGGCGTTGGCCCTTCGTAGTTCGAGGCAGACGGCGAGAGTCGGCTGCCGCCGCACGTGGTCAGTCATTTTTTGTCCCATATTCCCACCAGTGACTAATCGAGGCCAGATCGCGAACGAATGATATAAGGAGGATGTGACTACGCTGCTATTGTTCATGAGTGTAATAACCGCGGATCAGTGGCCGATAGTGAGTAATCGCTAAGATGCAAAATGGAGCTGTTCTGCAAAGCGAAGCAGGATAAAAGACGACGTCGAAACGACAAAAAGTCATTGACCGTTGTCGCTGTAGTGGCTAGCCAAGAGTCGGCCCTTTGCTGTCGGCCCTCGTCTGCACATAAGGTTTCCTATCTCCGCCCTTTTCCTGATTTATCCGCACCCCTTTGTCTCAGTACCTCCCGGTTCCTCGGAACCTATTGCCAGAATAGAAACAGGTACCCCCGCGTCCGCCAGGGCAGGGTATCACTCTCGTACTGCTGCCCTATTCTGTGCTGTGTCTGGATGCCTTCGGCGGCCGCGGCGGTTCGAGTCACTTCTTGTCTTGGCACTATAGCGGCTGGTTGCCGAATCTGGCCAATATCCGTTCTGCCTTAACCGCGGCTAATGGATGACGTTACGCACTGCCGCAGATAGTGTAGTGGCAGGCATGGTTCTGCGCCCTCGACCTGAACCGGCTTGAGGTTCTCGGGCTCTGCTCAGAGTACCCTGCTCAAGTTAGAGAAGGTAGTGACTCTATTTGGTTTTAAAGCAGTATATAGCTTTTTTCCCCAGGTGTCAGAGTTAGAACAGTCCGCGGAAGGTTGAAAAGCAGTTCTTTTATCTGAGCTATTCAGAGCTATCCCAGCAAAAAAACAGACTTAGGATGAGTAGCGCGCCAAGTATCTTCCAACTAGATATTTAAACCAAAATCCGCAATCATGCAGGCTTTTGGCGGTGCGGATTTTGGGTTCGTACTAAAATGGATCGACGAGACTTTATCAGGTCTAGATTTTGGACGATTCGAAAGCCTTACGGTGAGTCGTGGACGCCAGTCTGTAAGTGTAGCCTACACACGGTTGTCCAGCCTCATTTACTCGCGCCATAATTAACGCGGAACGCAATACAATTTGACATTGAAATGTGTTACCACCAAAACAGACGGACGTTTAAAAGATTTATCTAGGGTTTCAAATATGAAAGTTAAATTATTGTACTTATCTATATGTAGGAGCCCTGACAGGTAGGGTAACAATTCCAATATCTGCTTCGATGATGATCTAACGCTGCGGCCGCTATAGAGTCATACATGTAGATAATACACTTCGGGTGGAGAGCTTTAGCTTCGGGCGTTTTAGACTCCAACCTTTGGGTTCGTTTAAATCATCGCAATATACTAACGAGGATTTCTGAGTTGATTCTGATGAAACTGAAGTCGAACTTCTGCAAGGTTTTTTTTAAACAAAGAAAAAGGAAGGATTCGTTTCGGCTTAAATTAATGCTTAACCGTGCCAAGCGTGTCACCTATGGTAGATAATGCGTGCAATATGTATATTTTAGATGAACAGAGGTTAAGATTGATTCGGTGCAGGTTGGCCGATTAAAGTTAGCCCTATCTTCCGTCGACAGAAAAATAAAAGTTACGAGTTAACATTGCATGTTTTAGCTTAAACGTATTTCTGAGAGGGACATTTATGCAAGTTACAAAACTTAGTTTAACAAGTTGCTAACGAATGAGGGATTACACTGTGCTGCAGTGCACCGACGACAACCATAAGGCGGTCAACGTATCACTCACCGCGTACGTGACAATCGCTCTGCACGAACTGCGGAACTTCGAAGGGGTTAGTGTTGAGGAAGTGATGATATCTTATAATCTGAGCGAACGAATGTTTTTAGTTAACTTAAATTCTAGATACGAATGCTAACTTATCACCGTATTGCATTGTAGCGAGGTAATAGCTCGACTTCAACACAAGCAAAACTGCTTTGCCATATCTGAGTGGAGTCGTACACAGCCTATAAAGCAAGGCGATACATTTGCAGGTAACAAATGAGTGTAAATACAACCTAGTCTTCGATATTCGAACCTCATCTGCCGACGATATATAAGGACTTAAGCGTTATTATATTAACCAGGAGACGATATGATGTTGATTGATTTTTAGCCGTTATCGGTAAAAATACTGCCCGCCATTCGTCAGGCTCAGGAATATCTCGAGTATTCAGTGACGTACAGCGCTAAGGAAGATGATCCTTATCAACTTGCTATAACTGCCTATGCACTTCTTCTAATCTCTAGTTCCGAAGCGGAATACGCGTTCGCGTTACTCGATCGAAAGTACATTCAAGACGGTAAGTAGACTGGGGCCATTATCGAACGATATATGCACGCGCACCTTTATGCTGGCATCATGACGCATTGAGCCGTCATTGTACATAATACCAGCTACGACCACTTGCCCAGTGGCGTTTTTCCTGTAAATTGATTAGAATTAAATTGGCGCTCTATCAATTTTCCGCAATTATTTGCTTCCTTTCTAAATAGAAGTTCAACAGTGACCGGCATAGGGGCGCAGCAAGCTAGTTGTTACATGACTTCACCAAAAAATGATACCTTGTGAGGTAAATGATAACTGCTAAAGTTCGTATTGAGCACAGGAAGACGTTCTGCAGAGAGACCTAAGAGGCGACTACGTAACTCTGCTCTGAGCCGGTACTTTGACTGGATAGCCGGCGAGACTCAGGGATGTACGGATGCCACTGTTTGCAATGAAATTTTTAAATACAAAGCACTTCACTATGCATTTCATTGTTTCGAAGTAAAGCCAAGTCCTCGTTGACGTTAGCATAATTATTATTGTTTACTTACTTACTTACTTACTTACTTAGAGCAGTGCATCATAATTCTCGCATACCCGGTTCAAAAGGAATAATGTGGCGTCTATCTATGTCCTAGCCAGCTTCAGCAGCGTATTGTTTAGGCAAATCAATTCTCATTTTCTCTAACGTCAACCTAATATACATGCATAGGACAATCGTATTTATAGCGGAAACTGTGTCCTGTATTAGGCGTCCTAGATCGGCCTAGCTAACGGTAGGCGTTGGGTGCTATGGAAATAGTCTTCGCCCATTGTATTACTCGCGAGTTGCACTAGGTTACCGTCCTTTTTGGCCTACACTTATGATTTTCGAGCATCCGCTTTAGCACTAGATGAATACCTAATCAAGACCGGGTAACAGCGACGACTCTCTTTTAGTCGTCTGGTGGATATTGAATTTTCGGCGGAAACAAAGCCCGATCGTTCAAACTGGGCTGCTGAAAAATCCATCGAAGTTTAGAACATATGTGTAATTTATGACGTGTTGTAGTGATTCGACATGGTGGCTCGAGGCTAAGTACGACAAATCGGCTGGCTGCCAAAGAGCGCGGCCAAGTAAGTATATAGGAAAAAACCTATGGCAAAATTGGCAGAGAAGCTTCTATACGTTAGTTAGGTGAAAGCAGATTATACTTAAAGCGTATAAACTTCGATTTGTAGGTGAACAATCGTGCTGTTAATGAGAAAGCTTCACGCTTTCAACATTTATTCACTTGTAACAATTTATTTTACTTACATTTACCCATAAAACGTTTATACAAAGGGACGAAATTTAATACGATTCACTTATACTACTGATACAAAATAGATACATAGTTCGGAATGAGTGGCTTTACTGCTGTGCACCCTTTCTGCACAAATTTCGCAGACGCTACTAGTCTCATCGTATCTTTCCCGGCTGTTATCACTGCGCTTTCAACAGTTCTCCGAGCTGCGGCACAGGATCATGCAACTAACCCGAACGGAACTATGACGCTTTCAGGAAAAAAAACTGCCCTAGATGCCTGAAATCAGAGCCGCAACCCTGATTAGGGAGAGATTTTTCTGAGGCGCTTATTAGCTTCTTGTCTAACATTTGTTTGCCGCGTTGACGCAAATCTTCATCTTTGGGCGTCCTAGGCGATAGTCAATTTAGGCTTGATCAGAAGTATTCCGATCAAGCCTACCGGTCGGTAACAAAATAATCTTGGCTAGTGAATCATATTCGAGCTCTCTATGCGTCTTGCGAACAAATTCACTACGCACGATTATATATACAAATTTTAAAGAGCTGCAGCCTGCCCGGCGTGGGCGTTGAACACAAAAGTCGGATTCTACCAAACAAAACGACTATCTGTTTGTAGCGTTTCACAGTTTTACATTGACCATCACCGTATGTCTCTGTTTATCCGTAATAAACTTCACAGCCAGCCGTTTTTGTGCTTCTCACGGAACTTTTGAGACGTTTCAAGTGCCCTCGTACTCACATATATTCGGATGTCGGAGTGGATCGCTCGTATGAATTGCCCGTGATCCCTTGTACATATAAAAATGTGTGATGTTGTCCGGGTGACGGTACAGAAAAGCTGAGTGTCTGAGCTAAGCCGAAAGTTCTATTACTCCTTAGAGAGCGCATCTCGACGCTCATTGGGAAGCGTCATTCGGGACCCATGTAGCTTACGGTTTTTGCAAATCCATCGTGTTCCAATGATTGAGTAGTTTGATTTAGTTTTTTTGTTTTTTATTGATATTATTTGAATTACAATATGTATTATAATTAGAATCAGAAAAAGGTCTAATTGTGACAGCAAGAATAATAATGCAAGATTATTGACTGTCGCTACCAAAAAGTTTTGAATGTTGTGTCTCTACGTAAAAATAAAAGGTTTTCGCATAGGAAAACTGTGCAGATATTATACGATAATCACAACTATAGGAAAAAAAAAACATTTTAAAAATAGATGTCATAGTTGGTTTGTCGCCACAGTCTTCCTAGAATGAGGTTATACCACAGAGGCAAATTGACCAAAGCACACAATTATGTGTATATTAGCTTTTTTTCTTTTATCTTGTTCTTTTCCGGTTACCTGAAATAGGTGATATGCGGTACTGGTCGAAGCGGCGATTTCAAACAAACCCTTCAGTCACTGAAGCAGGCGGAGACGGTGATCTTCCATTTGTTCTTGCGGCAGGGTCGCAGCCCCCCCAGGTAAGCTTCAGTCATACATTTTTGGTGACCGCATGTTTACAGAGAGCTGTTGAATTGAAGCAGTCGCCGAATAAATTTAATAGTACTTTATTATCGATATATTTCCTTTGGTACAAAGATGACAATATTCCTTTTTTATCAGAAAATTCTTCGATACGCTATTTCGCAGTGGCTTTCATTTAGCTATTGTCTTTTTATAGTTAAGCGTGCGTCGAAACATAGTGTTTGGATTACTATGTATTTCTAACAGACGCACATATTACCAATTTTACCTAAAAAATAGATAGAGATTTCATCATTTCAATACGCTAAATCATTTCTAGGCAACAACCTATCTTCAGCAATCATCATCATCGAAATTTGGCATTGCAGCTAGGTATTTTTGCCAAAACCCTGCATTTTGATTGATCTTCACGCGCTTCACAGGTGACTCCCCTCACCCGGAGTGAGCTGCACGCTGTTGATGTTGAAACAACGGCATACGCTTTGCTAGCGTATCTTCATGGCAAGGCCGTACTCGTCAAACCTATTGTCGAATGGTTAACGCAACAAAGAAGCCGCAAAAGCGGCTGGGCCTCGACTCAAGATACGATCGTTGCTATGGAAGCACTGCTTGAATACGAGAAAAGGTAAGCAACTATATTTCAACCGGAGTCTTGGACAACCAGCTCTCCGCTTGAAGGTAACGAGAGATCGCCATGCCAAGTCCCATCAACGATGCATGCAATACAACTGGCGTAGTAATATATATACTCGAATACGTGAACTCGGAAGAAAAACAACTAGTTTAGTTTGAGTTTAATACAAACGTAAGCTGGTAGAGTTTTTAATATGCGAGTACCTGATAATGGTATGGAGTTTAACTTCCCAAGCGATAACTTCAAGTCATTATTATTATTCTTGAAAAAAATATATGCAATTTTTTGCGAACGAAAGTGCCGTCTCGAAAACTAAGTGGCATTCATCGTACTCGTATAGCCAGCGTTTCCTTTTAAAACAAACGGTATTTTACTGAGATAGTGAAGGTGAGATACGTTTTTTCAATAGTTACTAATATGTTTGAAAGAGACAATGCAATCAATAATATTATAGACAGATAGCGCTGCGAAGAGTTTTTCCCACTGCATAATCTTGATCGTTTAATTACTTGGTATAGTGATTATACGGCCCTAGTGAAATAGCACACAAACGGCAATGCGACTCGTTCCACTCCGGAAAACGCTGGCGGGTGTCCTGGTTTTTGCCATCTGGTGCGGGCTCGATTATTTCAGATTATCTTACCTTATTTCAGTCGCTCACCCTTTTCTTCTTTCTGACTTGCCCTATCTAGGCAGGTGCACTATCAAAGTGGATCTTCATTAACGTTGAAGCCTTGTTCACGCTTTATTCGTAAGCTTCTATCCGAATACTATCGCCCCCTGGCACTACAACACCCCGCGCTAACTCGTCAACCTCACTTAATTTATCAGTGAAACAACCCCAAATAGCAGCACTGGCAGAATGGAATGCCGCTGTTAATTAGAACTGCGTCTTGTACGAGAAAAGAACATTCGAGACAAAGTAGCAGAGCACCAGCCATTAGCATAGTAAACCAAGCTGTCGGTGTCGACGCCGCGATCAGTTGACCACAGTCATCGATTGGTCGGCCCGCTACTGCCCACATCACCCACACCGAAGACCGATCTCATATAATAGTGTACCAGGGAATCCCAGCTGGTACCACAGCCATAACCACTGTTGATCCTATCCGCCTTGCTACAGTTCCTGAACTGGCAGCGGTTTCTGCGTTTGTATTGCAGATGTACTACTCTGCAGATATGTTCATTGCGCCGTTACTGGTGGACAGCGTACGTGACTTCATCCTCCCCAACTGGCATACATTGTCCTTTGGGCATGCTAGACTCGTTCAATTACGTACACTTAATTGGCTTACCATGATCCTAGTCGGGCGCTGATGGGTTCGCAGCGATAGACAAAACGGCATTGTCAATTCTGTTGACAGCGTCGCAACATCCCCGTCATGCATGACCAGCCCTTGCCTCCATGCATTCCCTCAACGCAACACTTCGTCCCACGACGAAGCACTATATATATAGCAATTGGTTTTTAAACAGATTTTATACAGCGAGGTGCAAAGCAAGAGCTGATCATCTTGTTTCATTCAGCAGCCACAGTCGGCAAGTCACCAGGCTAAAATCTTCACAAGTCAAATACTAACGAACGAAGACTTACTTAGGTCCATTTTAGTAAATCGAGGCTGAATCGACTGTCAGCTACCGTCAGGGTATCGTGATAAGCATGCTCAATGGCATCAATCAGCTTCTTGTAGGACAGCTTTACGAACGCTGCTAGATGATTTGTTAGTGCGCGAATGCCCAATACACCAGGATCAATCGTAGTATAGTAAAGTAAACGCGTAACGAACGTTCAACTTGTTTCGTAGTCCAATAGTAGAATTGGAACCTTGAAAAATAAAGGGTATTCTAATAAACCCTTTAGATATTTCTGACGAGACGCATCACATAATAAGTCTTAGTTCTGACGTGTAATAGGCAGCTAAAAGATATTATTTACAGATGTTATTTATTCATTAATAATAAACATACATTTGTTATCGTGTATGGCCTATTTCAGAGTGTTTAGCAGCGAGGCTGAGGAGCGCGAACTTTCCATGACCATCACTATTGAAGCTACATGTCTTCCAGGCATCTCCAAACAGTTCCACGTCTGTAAGTATGCCAAAGCCTCTATTTTTACCAACTTGCTCACTATTTGCATTGACTCTACGCACGTCGTCGAGTCTATTTATACACTTGAGTCTATGTTGAAATTGAATAGCAGATTCTTGCAGACACTTAATGTTTTCCGTTCTACGTGGAGGGCTGTATATTGAGTAGAAGTAAACAAAGTAACGAATAACTTATTGATAAAGTCATATGAAAATGCAGAACGCAAAATCCCTGAAAAGGCTGTACTTTATTCTACTAATGGGGCAAGCCAATTTTTGTTCAATTTGCAACTAAACAGAGGTGTTGGTTCATTATAACTTACTTGCAATAAATTGTGAACTTAAACCATTGACAAACACACTTGTATAAGAAAGCGGGGAGCCAGTAGTAAGTTCCTTTTCAACGTGCTTATCTGCTACGGGGTACCAAGTCTGCCCGTCGATAATCCCGAGAAAACTCCAACCACTATTGCGTGACCGATCGTCACGAGGGACCAGCCGATGTCCCTGAAACAAACTTTTGCGTTTGTTAACGGGAGTATTGCGCATCAAAGAAGACTCCCCCCTCCCCCCTTCCCCCGGCGAGGAGCGCCTGGTTGTCCTGTTGGATCTTCCTGTAGATAAGCAAATATGTACTTAACGGCAGCAAGAAACACGTTGGACCTGAAGTCAATGTAGGCCTACGGTCGGATGCCTCTTCGTTGATGTCCTTAGAAATGGTCAACGATTAAATGTCTTCTTTCGGATAAAACAAGCGATCCATTCTCTGTCGCCAGGCGTTCGGAGGTTGTTCATCGACCCTAGTACAGTGCCTCGTAAGTGCTACGTATTAACGTGTCATCAGTGTACACCTAGAATACATCTAAAAACGATTTCATTCTGGAAGCGTCTTCGCTGGTAAAGAAGATGACTGTTTCCTAGCTCATACTTAAGCTTCGCGTAAGAGTATTTATCAGGATTACAGTGTACAAGATGTAACAATATCTTATGCGTTTGCAACGTATTTCATAAACTGACGAAATATATACATTGCCTTCAAGATTTTTTTTATTGACCATTTTTTTAACGCGGTATTGCTTCGTAGATGAAGTCTACTCAAGCGTTTAAGCTTGCCTAAACTATTTCTAAACTAAAATCACTTAATTTTCGCTGACTTTGTACTTGTTATTTATTCTCTAGCCTAAATTAATCTCGACGTTATTGACATATGCTTATGTCAAGACCAAGCTTCTATATTGTTTAGGAGAACGATTAAATAAATTACTTTCAGTAGGAAATCCTGGCGGCTGCTAAAATGTCTTCTTGCCGCCTGGGAAATATGTATAGACTTATGTCAAAAACAAAGTAAAAACCTTCTTTTAACCCTATGAAATATTATGAAATCTAGCCGTAGTTGAGATTAAGTATGTGTTCATAGATCCGGGCGACGTGCCCCATTTTTTTATCAGCGTTAGCTGGAAGAAGGCAGCAAGCAAATCCATTCAACTTGTTCGTGCTTAATTCGCAGAATTATGTTTAGTCTCAGAATTGGGTGTTTTGGTAGTTGATTTCCTACAATTGTCGGCCGGTAGATCTGTGATCGATAGCTTTATAGCTGATCGTCGCTCTGTTTCCGACTGTCGTGTAGTGTTGCTCCAAGAGCCAGCATCGGCCGTGGTCCTTGACCTGTTAGGATAGCAGATACGAATTGGTGCCTATCGCCGTGTTTATCAAGACGATGGGTCCGGGTGGCCCTTCCCCAAATTCGACCCATAGGACGCCCAGCAGCAGTTCAGTCAAGTCAAACCTTTAAAGCTGCCAAATCTTACCGAAATCCCCTCTTACCAATTTTCCTCGTTTTCTCTGCCTCACACAGCATGGAACTTGGCCTCTTCACCTTGTACTTTCTTTTAAGCTTAACAGTTGCTTTTATAGTGATCACCCACAGAAAGTCTATTTGGTGCGCGACAATGTTTAGCCAATGTACGCCGTTTGCGCGCGATTTCTCTCTCTCTAATATATATAGTCCTTTCTAGCTAGTCTTTTCTAGCTTTCTCACTCTTTCATGTCTCTCTCTCTCTTTTCTGTTTTCCGTCTGTTCTTCCTGCACTTTTCTTTCGGTCCATAGCGGTCCACTAAGTTCAGTTGGCTGGCCGGCAGTCGGCCTAAAACGCGTCGCCAACTTAACCGCTGCTACGAGCCCAGCAGTTCGAAGGCTTTCTTCCATTATCACTGAGCATCTGAGAATAAAGGTGAACATATACTCCAAATCCAACGATAGCTACTTCCCTAGCCAAGACCCGGCGTTACTCAGTTTCGACCAGGACAGGGCGCACCCAGTGGTTGAGACTCTGCAGCCAGTGCAGCTGACGTCTTGGTGGTTTTCTACTGTACTGGGCTCTTGTGCTTGTTATCTCACACAGACATACGACCGCGCACCATGGGGTTATAGCAATTAGAAGGGGAGCAGCAGCATCATGCGATACGGAATCTTTCTAAGAGTCGGTGTGTTCAGCTCATACATATGTGGACGCATGCCTTTACAGGTGCATGACACAGCTGCAACTATCACTAGCTTCTATTTTAAAGGGTCGCAGGAGGAAAGGATATATTAAGACGCGCTTGTTCTTGCCGCGGAAGGACCTATACTCGTCACAGCCATCTATAATACCGTTACACAGCTTTGGACGAAAAGGTGCAATTGGCCTCCGTCAGGGGAATCGGGGGAAGGGGGTAAATCGAGATTGTAATAGTATCGAGGTACCAATCACATTGCCCGTTAGTCTTATTTTGAAACATTTGTGCATATGCTTTGCTCGTTGTTCCTCCCTGTATGAAACCCATATCATGCTTTGGGGGTTGCAGCTATGCCATGACGTTATAACTAGAACACACTTCTTGTATAAAGATAATCTTCTTTTACTCTATTCGTATAAAAAATTCACAGAGAAAGCTGTGAAACGTGCTTCTCATGTAGTAAGTGAATAAGCATTTCCTCTCAAATAACTTCAGCTGAGTTATTTTTGCTGTTATTAGTATAAGCGAGATTGCAAGCTCAACTTAATTAGCCATTAACAGTTTACGAGTTATATAACTGACTTACGGACGCCAAATTAGGAGGAAATGTGTTTGGCTATTTTGCATATGAGTCCTTCTGTAAAATGTGCAGGCGCGATACGGTTAAATAAATAATAAATAAAAACGATTAAATAAATGAAAAAAGAAAAGCCACTGTATACAATAATTACTCTCGCCGGTCTGTTCTAGCGCGAATGGAGTTGACTAAAGATTGAACGAACAAAATACTGAATTGAACGGCTCGTTAATTGCGTCGTCCTTATCAATATGGCCTAAGTACATACATTTGCATAATACAGGATTTTTTCAAGCAACTATTTATGAAGCTGACTAAATAGGTTTAGTAAATGGCCAGTTACTGAGCCATTTACTCGACCGTACAAGCTAACACACGACAGTGCACATTGCAAGGTATCTGTTATATATTTATCCTATATCGTATCTAGAAATCACTAGAACGATTTCACTTTGGTAAGATCAATTCACGGTTCCATTCAAGTAGTATACTCATCATTATTCCTTCGCAGCAATCGCAAATCGTTACCAACCACAACGGTTCCGAATCCCGAATGCTTGGGGTCAGCTCACAGTGCGAGCACGTGGCGTAGGAAGCGCCTTACTTCAAATAGCACTCAGTTCCCGTCAGCATCAGCCTCCGCCACCGATTTCACACTCGTTGTCGCTATCCGTAAAGGTATACATTTTGAACTTTCGAATCATTATAATTGTGCTGAAAGCAATAATAGTAATCGCGGAAAACGTAACACTAATCGGATTGGCTCAGGTCTTCTCGTCGGGACGTAATCATTCTCGGATTCATTTCCGCTCATGTCAGAGCTGGCTAGACGGTCGTGGAATTGGGGAAGTCCGAGGACTAAGCAGTGAGAGTGCGGTAAGCGGCCTCGTCGTCCTTGAAGCAGCTCTTCCCACTGGCTATGGGGTTGACCGTGATACCCTGCTCCATTACGTACACTCGGGCACCGCAAGGAACTTGCGTCATGCACACACTCTCGATGACGGACGTGCAGTGTTCTATTTCGATTATGTGAGTTATTCATTATAAATATGTAACAACAACCTTACGGAACTTTATGCTTGTTTTGTTGTTTGTCTTTTGTTTTGGCGGACGGGTCGCATTTCGTTATTGATTCGCTTCTTTGTTCTCTTTTACATTTTACAGTTGGACTCCTCGCCAATCTGCATCAACTTCACTGCCCTAAGACTACGACCAACTGCCGTGGTGAGCCGGCACACACTCGTCAAAGTCTACGAGTACCACGAACCCGGTCAGTCCGCGAATAGCTAACGCAATACATTATATTCGTGACGTAATTTGTTTCTACATGGTACAGCTATCTACAATAATAGTTTTAGAGACGAAGAACAGCAGTAGCGTACCATCGAGCAGCTATGAACCAGGATTCCTGGCGTAAGGGTAAAATTGGAGCAATACCAAGGTAATCTGTTATACAAAAAAATATATACATATTTGGTATTTGTTCTAAGTGCCTTCTTTTTTGCTTATCTGCGTACCTATTTTAGAGCGTTTAAATCAGACCCTGGTAGATCTTTCATTCCTGCATGCGTTGCAAGTCTGCGACGTGTGCGGTTCTTACCAGTGCGTACAGTGCCCATCGTACAACGGCGCCCAGGACACGTACTATAGGACATCTAGCCAAAATCTTCTAGTGGTACTCACCATCGTCACGAGCCTGATCTCTCACGGACCACGGTGCAGATAGAGCCTGGTTCAGGCGATGACAACCAATAACCATGAAAACGAGCGTACCGTGTATATAGCAGTTAATATGATCTTACAATGAATGAGCAGGCTCTCATCTTGTTTTGATGGTGCCTGGATACTGAGATTAGTGTTGCCGCGGCACGTAAACGTGTGTGATCACTGCTACGAGTCATCATCGTCCCGCTTGGTGGGCGTGCACGACTGTAGATTTAATGAGTACACCACGTGACTCAGTTAGGTGGCGAAACTCCGTGAGATTAGAAAAAAATGTAGGTGAAGTCGAGAGAGGTGACGCGAGTATGCAGTCTTTTGCAGTAGAAAACAGCGTTGGCCTAAAGGATAGGTTGGGGCGCGGAGGGGTTATCCAGAAAGCGATCTATCGATGTAGATAGCTATAAAAATAATTCATTAACTAACAATAATTGGAAAGCAATACTTGATGGTATCTTAAAGGGACAGCAGGGACAAGTCAAGAAATGAAAACTACTAATTAGAGCTTCACAATGGTTTAAATAGGAGAGACCGCGTTGAGCGAGCCTCTTCGGTACACTGCCTTGACCTAACGATTGCCACGATGCCTCGAATTTAAAGCATGGATAAGCAGGAAGTCTTCAGTTTTCAGTATCCTTGAAGTCAATAATAATCATAAAATTAGGCGACTAATTCAGATTGTTTGACTCGGCTTCCCCGTTGATGGTGAGCAGGCCCTACTTCTTCCCCACCCGCAAGTATTAGGAAGAAATTGAGAGGGTAAAAAAAGCTATTTCTCCATTTAGGTAGGTTAGAACGAAATGGAGGCCCAGTGTGTCGGTTTGGCTGTTTGTATGTAAATAGCGTCGTTTAATAATGATAGAATGGGTAATGAGTGTTGTTTTGATGCAGGCTTTTTGCTAACATATATACAATGATTATCATGCTGAACTCCTATGGAACCTTTCTGAGAGCATCGTAGGTTGTCTTAAGATAGGGAAAAATTTATAAGGAATGTTGTACCCGGCGTAAATGTAAATAATAATAAGACACATTGCTAGATAGTAAAACAGATAAAAAAAATAACAAGGAGGGAAAAATTTTCAAACATGGGATAGGGACAGCGAAACAGAGGTACACAGCTAAATCGAAAAGAAGGAACGACAGATGTTTAGAGATCATAGAAATATAAAAAAAAAAAGTCATACAGATGAAAAAGAATGAGATATAAAGTTCAAAAAGAGCAATAATAACGCATTTCTTAATTCTAGATTCTCGCGCTGCGTTTTAGATAAGGTTGATCCCGTAATAAAGATGCTTTATTTACATTTATAAAAACACTTATTTTCAATCGTGTAATAGGTAGCAAGAGAGTGTATGTATCATAGAAATTAGGTAGACTGTATGTAGGAGGAAACATTCAACAAAGCGGACATTTGTTTAGTTCGAGCATACAGCTTGGTACATATTATAAAGAAAAAATCGCAGTATCATGCTTTTACCTAACTCACTGTGTAGACAGGGATTTTCTAAGGAATTCACTAAAAGCACAGGAAGTTGCTAAAACTTGTGAAACATACGTTGCTCATTTTTCGATCTACTATCGTTTTTGGTTTAAATAAATTAGTTTACGGTTTAACTAACCACACTTTGTATAGTCTTATTACATATGCTATAGTCGTCGGGAAGACTGAAAGAACAGTCATCTTTATTGGAATAAATATTTGCATATATTTCTAGGAAGGTTCATCTTGGTATCTGACTGCTCACCCCTTCATTTATCCTGTCTCGTACGGCTTTAGAAACAGTACAATGAATGGCCGCATTGTTTTTTTGGCTCGCTTTACTTAAAACTGCGGAAATGATTATAGAAGAGACTTTCTCGGCATTTCTAGACATTTAGCCGGTATCTCATTTTGAATTGAAAGCCTGTTTCCGACTCAAAATGGCACATTATAGCCCTACACCCTTTACTCTAAACTCCATGAGTCTTTATTTCAGGATGAATTTACTAATTTAATTCGCATTACATTTAACTTCTTAGCTTTCAGTAATGCGTCAGCTATTTTGCGTAACATATATATATATATGCTATAGTCGTCGTATATATATTCGATTTATCTTAAAAGGATGAAAAATTTCCTGAATCTGTGTAGATTTGTATATAAAATAGGACAAAATAACAATGTAGGAAATCTACTTTATTAAAAAGTAACATATATATAGAAGTATGTTTTTTTGTGAGGCTACTAGAACCAAAAAGTATCAGGATCGAGGAGTGCTACACCAAAATCTGCAGTAAGACTGAAGACGACATTTTTAAGACTAACAAAACATGAATGAAAAAAAAAAATGATACCAATAAAGAAAACATCGAGGGTATAATAGTCTAGCAGAGTCGGACAACAAAAGGACAATGCTGTCTGAACGAAAAACTTGATCATTGTCAGACAAAAATATATATAAGTAATCGAAGCTAGATGTGCGCATGCATCGGAAAGGCAATATTTAATCTTGGTCGCATTATTACTGCAATTATTACAATTTAGTAGGCATAGGAGGAAATGACTTTCACCTTCTTTTATGTTCGGTCGGTATGCTTTTATGCCACATCCGCATTATCAGATTCCAAATATAAATGATTCGCTTTGGTACTGCTGCCGCTGGCGCCATCAGTGAAACACTTTGATTGACGCCCCAACAACGGACATAGTCACATCCGTTCTACTGGGTCGGGGCCAAATGTACAGTTGATTATTTATTCATTGTCTGGTCCCAAGCAAACGAGGAGGAATAGCTTTGGCAAATAAGCGTATGAATGTGTTTGTATGTTTATGGGAAGATGGTTAACGCAGTGGCTAGCTCCGCTATTGTCCATGTGCCTATTGGCGATGATTCCTTGAAAGCAGGCGGCGACAATTTTGGCATGATTTTCTATGATCTTGGAGGCAGCGACGCCAATCAGCTAATGCTTTTTCTCCATCCTTTTACCGCTTTACCATGCGTTCTCTACTTTGATGTATAGTGAGTCTTCTAACGGGCCCACTTTCGCCGCCTCCCCCAGCACCGATTTTCGTAGATGCCACCGTCGTTGTAACGCAAGTTCTTCTAGAGCTGCTACGGCCGTTTCCACTGCGATCTTGGCTCACCGCGCACCTTCGTGGCAATTGCATGGTCGTCGGTGTTCTTACGACGCTACACTGTTTTTTTCCCAGCCGTACTCCCACACACCCACAGCTCCCTTAGCTGCGTCCAACCGGGCCAGACTGTGAACGCTAATCTGAAGGATGCGCACGAAAGGTGTGTGCGTGCTCTCCTTCTACGTAAAAAAGCGTCTCACCTCTTTGTCATTGCTATCTTATCAGGGCATCTTCAACTCTTCCCTGCCAGCTCGATCCTTCCGGGCTCTGACTTGCTTGACGCTTAAGGCCGTTTCGTTGTGCTCGTAGAGACAGACCATACACACGCGGCTAGCAGCACCTCTGTCCTGGCGTAAGCCTTTTTCCTCAAAGCTAACCGCCCAAATAGTGTAGCGAGACTTCGACGACGCAAGGGACTGGCAGGGCCGGCGCAACCGACTATGACGCTCTGCACCTTATCATACTTTGAAGCATGCACGTTCTTTCTTACTAATGCGTGATGATCTAACGAGAAGCACGCGTTCAGTAGCAGGGAATGGAGAGCATATCACTGCTTTTGATATTAAGGATTGTTCTGCTTGCTTGCTCGCTCCCAATAACAACAGAAAGTTCTATAAGGATACGGCTCTTCCAGTAATTACATGTGAGGATGCAAGAATTTAATTTACTTATGTCTTGTGGTATGAAGGTATTCTCTAATCAAACCTAGAGAACCGTGTTTTACTCAGATGCATTTAAGTATAGAGATAGTGCCAACACATCGATGGCACGAAAAACCTCTTGCCTCACAAAGGCAACGGCGAAGTTTCCGTCGTGTACTTTGGCGAAAACTCGTTGTGATATCAGTCTGGTATCTTTACCAGCATTGCGTCTGCGCTTTTTGTAAAAAAGCTGGCTTAACCTTCACACTCCTGCAACCAAAGAGAACTGTTATTAAGCTGGACACGCTTAAAAAGAAATCCTGCTGTGCCATTGATTTGCACATTGAACTGCACATTAATAAAAAAAAACTAATATAACCACCTATCTAATCAACAGATACACTTCAATGCAGCGTTAGGCTGTTCTTTTCAATGTGCGTGAAGTGTGCCGTCGATACATTAATCATAGCGTATTTTCTCACTATTAACACAAACATCACTATCGAGTAAGTTAGTAAGTATACCTTTGCATTCCTTCTGTACGTTTACCTGACTGAAGCAAAAAGTATCATCATAGTAGTGCTTTTGTCCTCTACTGTTCGACGATACGTATGTAAATCTCTATCGCATAAAAAAAGCACATTGTTATACTGAAATTGGGAAAATATGTTGTTTACAATACATAACGTAATGCAGCCTGATTATAAAGCTAGAGATATTACGCTAGGAGACCTTGAAAGAATGGTAACACCCACAAAGGAACCGGTAATAAATACTAGTTAAATTTCTATTTTCCCAAACGTTTTGCTTGAAGGCAAAGTACTATACCGATATGGTAAGACCTGTCCTATCAACTGCCCGCAGGCGTGTGATAACCAAGATTGCGAATTTGGTAATAGACTTTTCGACGACAAAACTGATAATAACGGTTTTCCTACCTAGATCGATAACACTTTTATTAGAAGTACGGAGAGAAGTCGATCGGCTTGCTATTATAAAAGAAAACCTCGAAAGTACGGACATCCACATAATTACTAGCACTATAGCCGTGCGGTACACGGTGCACTTTGCTCTGTGATGTAAGACCGTTTAAATCGAAATTAATTCTGTTATATTTCTCATCGGGATCGCTTGAGCTCTGTTCAATGTATGCCAATACCAGTGATCTTTAACAAAAAGAAGAAATTAATCGCACGAAGTACAAATCTTTTACCCCGTTATTTCTGTATGAAATGTTTGCTATCCAACAACAAATAGCTTTTTTTTGGTTTATTTATACATACAACCTCAGAGAGAATACTTTTTTTTTTATATATTCATTCGCAGTTTTTGGAACTCTACGCCAGCATTACATAACGGACCGTCTCTTCTCGTCAAAAAGATAACAGCTACGATATCAGAGAGCGGTACGACTAGCTCTTTCATTTCCAGCCCGAGGCACTTTGTTACGGAGGGAAAGTCTATCAACAAGTTTCTGGTGGGAAATGGTTGGCAGAGCCGTAAGTTGTTGCTGCGGCAACGACGATGTCAGTGCTTGTTTCCCTTGCACAATGCTGTGGACACAATCCATTGCCGGTAGATGTCTTTCGTTTTCCTGCCCCGTGTGGTATTCCCTATTTTTCCTTTGCCCGTTCTCATTGCTTATCTTCGTTCTCCTTCTGCTCCTCGTCCCGCCAGCACTCGCTAAACCATACAGTTCACGAAGGATAAACAGCGTCTTTCCTTCTTCAAGCGTAGGCGGTCGCTCTAACATGCTCTGCAGAAGTCGGTGTCCTACTCGGCATGCAAATGGCATACGCCACGCAGGCCATACCCGATTCACCACGCCTGGCTACGCCCCTACAAATGCTGCGCCTCCTCCGGCGCCGCCGCGGCCGTCAATCGCTGCTGCGCTATAAGCGCCATCCTGTCGATGTTGTGTTAGCTGGTCTTGTGTGCTTACTCCACTCCACTCCACTGCACTTACTTGCTTTCTTCGCAGGGGATTTTTCACTAGATACTTTTCAGTTGTACACCGGCCGGCCAGCCAGCCAGCCAGCCTGCCTGCTCCCACTATCACGATTATCTAATGTATGTAGTTTATGCTCGCGAATGCCCCACCCCACTGCGTCTCCCCTACGAGCTGAATGTTTAGGTGCCTCGCGCAGCAGAAATACCAGCGGCGATACCAACGAAAAGTGGCTGCTCGGAAAATGAAGCAAGGAAACAGACCAGCATGCGGGCGCGCAATGACGACGATCCAAAAGTTGGACAGGACTGATACGGATTTGACTGATACACAACAGAAGGGAGACAGACGAGCCAGCAGCAATAAGGTCGCCAACGACCACAGGAACAATCGACGGTCGGCGACCGCACTACTATATGTAAGCATGTGTCCATACTACCGTCGTATATAGTATCGTAAGTATGCCTTTCTGTATCCCTATATGTACATACGTACCCGTGGTGTGCTTTAAAGGACGCGTAGCCGATGCTTCACTGGATACACGATGCAGATATCCAGACGACGTGAAAACTAAG